GAGAGAGAGAGAGAGAGAGCGAGTGAGAGAGCAAGCGAAAGAGAAAGCAGGTGGGGGTGGTTGAGTGTAGTTCAATGTGAAGGCCCTGGATTTAATGTCTAGTACCAATGGGGGAATAAAGTTCCCTGTCTGTCCTGGGTGAAATTCCTTGTCTGTCATGAAAGGAACAAGAGGCTGCTGTGCTGACTAAAGGCCTCAGTGGTACGTGCTGTATTGGGGCCTGGCAGGCCAGATGTCAGGATTGAAATCTTCACCATGAGTTGAGTGGACGTTTAGTAGGTGGTGTAGGCTTTTTATGAGGCCTAGAGCACTGCTCAGAATAATGTTTGTAGAATGTGTAGCTGTGGGACTGTGAGGATGATGGCTAGAGTCCCTGTCCTCTCTGGGTGGTAATGCAAGGGTGGGATATGCTGCTGATGACGAGGCCTGAACATGTTGATAGACAGCAAGGAAAGGATTGGGCCTTAAATCCCGGGGAAGGCAAAAATGTCCACAGGAAGAAGGTGGTCAGTAGAAATGACCGTATCTAAGAAAATCTTCAAGCCTGGAGGGTTTGCCATTTTGTCAGAAAGATTAGCGGAGACCTTAGCAAGTAGTGAATTCAAGAGTAGAAAGATTAAGTGTTACCAAAAGGGATTAATAGTGGGGCCGAAGAGAAACAAGAAATCCCTGTAGGATGTGAGTCACTTTTCTGAATATTAATTTAGTGGAGAACAAAATTCTTTTATCCTTGCAAATTCAGCCATTTGGATCACTGAGAATAGCTCTTGTTTTTCTAGCCACAAGCTTTCAATTCCCAGATTGTTTATATTATCTTTTACTCTCACCTTCAAAGGAAGGTAGAGTTGTTCTCTTTTTAAAGGCAGCAAATTAGCAGCAGCCCAGTAAATTAACTTGCTCAAGTTCACATAGAGTCAGTTCTCCTGACTTTAGGGTTTCTTCTACAAAATGGAGCCTACTGACTCTTTAGATAAGCAAGGGTTTTAGAGTACATTTGATAAAACTTGTTGATAAAGGTGTTAGAGGAAAGGAAGAAATGACAGATGATTAAAACTGCAGTGACTTTTGTATTTCATTAATGTTTAAAATTTTTAAGAGATGCACAACATTTTCTTTCATTTTTAATCCAAAAAGACAGTTGAAGTGGTTGAAATATTTACATTAGTCAAAAAACTTGATTTTAGTATTAATCACAGACTAATAATCAGGATAGTAGTTCACAATTACCATTTTTTATTTAGCCTTCTGGACCTAGTTGCTATAAAAAAGCCACAGCTTTAGGAGTTTAAGAAGTGAGGTGAGGCTTCCTATTAGAGAGCACTGTTTTTGCTGCGGTATGAAGAGTACCTGTAATGTATGTTTGTTCCCACAGGATTGTTAGAATGTAGGATTCTGAGTGGTAGTGATGTGATGTTAGCTACTGTTCTCTTCTGATCCTTTCTTTCTCTGCTCCTCACAGATACTTCCTGTGCCTTCAGCTCCGGCAGGATGTCGCCTCTGGCCGCCTGCCTTGCTCCTTTGTGACTCATGCTCTTCTGGGATCCTACACGCTGCAGGCTGAACTTGGAGACTGTGACCTAGAAGAGTATGGCACTATTGACCTCAGTGACTTCCAGTTTGCCCCCACCCAGACTAAGGAGCTGGAAGAGAAGGTGGCTGAGCTGCATAAGACCCATAGGTCTGTCAATTTACTCACTGAAGAGAGATTTAAATAATCTGTAACACTTAAATTTGAGCAACTTCTCTGGGATTATCCAGTTTTTGTTCTAGTGTGTCGCCCAGCACTGATCAAGACAACCTGCAATTCTTGAAATAGCTTTTCAGTGCTTTTATGACTGTAATAAGGAAGCACATGTCTCCATGTTTTGGAATAAGGTAGTTTTCCATGTGATGTTTTCTTCTCCCTGTCTCAGGTTCCATCTGTTAACACACATGTACAGGAAACAAGAGTCCCCACACACTTGTTTGGGCATTTACATTTCTTCTACCTTTTATTACCACTATTCTGGATAAGAAAGCCAGGGAGATAATGAAGCATTGGGATTTGAACTAGAAGTGTGGATGGTGGTGGATGCAGGGATAGTAACTGCAGGTGATCCACTAAGCACAGGTGATGCCCTTTTTAGGTCAGGACAGCGCAAATTACTTGAATGCCATAGACAACTTTGTGTGCTTTTATATCTATGTGAAAACGGATATTTTTCTCTGAGTTTTTATAATGCTAGCTTCAAAATTGTAATTTGTTGCCTTGAGAAGTGGTAGTTTTATAAAATACCAACTAAAATGATTTGGAAGGAACTTGGAGATTAAAAAATTTTAAAGGGGCAAAATTTATTGACTTTAAAATATAAATGCAGTATTTGACTAATTATTTTCTCATTTGCTTTATACAAATTTAAGTATTCTGTAACTGTAGTTTGAAATGTCAGGGGCTAAAATGCCTTGGAGGATAAAGACTAATGAGACATAACCTTGTCCTTTAGAAGATTAAAATGTGTTTAGTTGGGGACATAACTTGGAATGGAAATAAATTTAGTATGGTCAGGATATGATGTGTGTAATCTGTCATAGGTGTAGAATCAAATAGAAGTAATTCTGGCCTTTATTATGATCAGTCCTAGCAAAATAAAAGGATATGAATCTGTCTTACCACAGAAAGAGGAAATCACTGTTTTATTCCTAGTTAAGTTGTGCTTATTATAGCTCAGGCTTTTTCTCCGGTTGAAATAATCCAAAGACACCCTTTAAAATAAGAAGGGTAAGGGTGAGAGGTGTGCCTTCTTGCAGTGAGCAGGTTAAGCTTAGAGGAACTTCAGGAAAGATCCTAGAGGTTGAGAGTAGTTCAATTTTCTGTATTCAGCTGGGTTGCTTGCTTTCCCTCAGGCTTTCCAGGCTCACACTTTCTTTATTTTGAAGACATTTGCTTTGCATCCACCAGTATGACAGTACTGTTTCTTTTGATTTTCCAGGGGCTTATCTCCAGCACAAGCGGATTCTCAGTTCTTAGAAAATGCAAAGCGGCTTTCCATGTATGGTGTGGACCTGCACCATGCTAAGGTATCGTAAAAGCGGTGGGAAGTAGCACCTTCCAGTCTCTTTTAACTGGAGGCTGGCGAAGGCTGTTTCACTTGAGGGTCTCTGTAATGTGTCTTTTTCATTTTTAATCTTTCTTAATTAAAAATAACTTACAACAGTGAAATTATACATTGCCATTCATCCACTTCAAAATACTCCCCTTTGAGCACGCATCCTGTAGTTCTTGTCACTTTCTGAAGCAGTTCTGAAAGTCCTCATTCATGACAGTCTTTAGCTGTGCTGTGTGGCTGCCTCGAAGTCCTGAGTTGATTCAAACCATTTACCTTTCATGGTCATTTTTGCCTTTGAGAAAGAGCCAGAAATCACGTGGTGCAGGGTCTGGAGAATAAGGTGGGTGAGGAACACTGTAATGTGTTTTTATAAGTTTGTTCCATTGGATGGCTGACCCAGCAGCAGCATTCACTGTATTTTTTAAAATAATTTTTATTAGTACATGTTTGTGATTCATAATGAATACATTCACCATGGGGAGTTGGTATATATATATCATTTTAATAATTTTTATTTCTCTTTCTGCTCTTTTCCCTCAACCTCTCTCCATTCCTTGAACCCCTTGTCTTCAAAAGGTCTTTTTGTCCTATCATCTTTTATTTCATTCTTTACTTTTTTATACTTTGGGTTTCTCATGTAAGAAAACAGTGAAATATTTAACCTTCTGTATCTTATTTATTTCACTTAGCAGTATGTCCTCAAGGTACATCCATTTTCCTACAAATGACTCAGATTTATTACTTCTTTATGACTGAGTAGTACTCCATTTGTGTATACACAAATTTTCTTTATTCATTCATCTGTTAATGGACACATAGGCTACTCCCAGTATTTAGCTTTCGTGAGTTGGATTGACATGGAGAGCTATTATTACATAGTGTTCACTGAATCTTTTCTCTGTATTATTTTTCCAGTGCTGTTTTTTCTGCAATGCTGGTTCAGTGCCTTGTGTTTGTTTTTTTTTTTTTTTTAGGATTTCTTTATGATGGAAAGTCTATTTCTCTGTCAGATCTGAAGGCTGATTTTGCCAGATATGGAAGAGGAGTCTGAATTGCCAGTTGTTTTCTTTTAGGGCTTGAAAAGTTTCATTCCAAGCTTTCTTATCCTTCAAGGTTTGTGCTGAGAAATCAGCAGTTACAGGGATAGGCTGGCAAATAGGTTATTTGCTGTTTTTCTCTAATAGCTTGGTGTTTGCTCCTTTTGTTGAATTTCTGGAAGTTTGGTTATGATGTGTCATGGAGAGGTTCCTTTCTGGTCATGGCCTTCATATTTTTACATGTCTCTATTAAATTCTTTCCATAGATTTGGAAAAATTTCTGCTGTGATTTCAGTGAATAATTTCTTTTATCTTTTGAGTCATCATGTGATTTTTCCATTCTTCCTGCAATGCTGAGGTTGCGTGCAGTTCTTCCCTGTCTCTGTGCTTCAGAGTCTCTGCCAACCAGCATTTGGGGGCACTGGGGGTCAGTGCAGCCAGGCTCCTTCACCTGTACCTCAGCAGACTGGAGCCATCAAGGGCTGATTTCCCCAGTTCCCGGCCTACTGGTGGCCTTTACTGGCTGGCGGAATGGGTCCCGCATGAGCCAAACTCTGTGGCACCCAGGAAGCCAGATGGCGTAAAGCCTCATGCACAAGGCACTGCTTTGCTGTTTGTCTTTGCACTGTCACATCCACTGTATGATGCTGCCTGATTCTGGGTCTCTGTCCAGATTTAAACCCAATTTTTTTCTATCCTGACTTGATTGTTGTGCTTTGGTTGATTTTCTGGTTCCTTAGGTGCTGTAATCTGAGATGCCTCTACCCTGGGCCTCCCTGCCCATCTCCCAGCATTAAGAGCGCTGGATCGGTGAGCCATGGTTGGTGAGGGCTTAGCTGGCACAGATTGTGGCTTTCAGGCTTCACCACCCAGTCTCCTATTCTGGGTTTAGCCACCTTCCCTTGAGCGTGGCTCTCTGCTGTCTCCTGGGCTGGCTTCCAGGGTGTCTGGTTCTGGATCTCCAGCCCATGTGCCCGGTGTGCTGTCACAGATGTGAGAAGGCCAGTTTTCTGAGTGGGCTTCCTTCCTTTTCCTCAACCTCTTTCCTCCAGAAATAGATACCTTCCCCAAGTGGTGCACTCCCTGGAGCTAGCTGTTAGCCCCATGGAGTCTGAGGAAAGGCCTGGCTTTTCCCTCTGGACACCCCTAAGGCTGAGCATTGACTGGTGTTTTTGTTGTTTGTTTTTTAAATTCCTTTCTGTGTTGGGTTTTCCCTTTGTCCCTATTTCTGAGTACCTGTAGAGCTTGGCAGGTTACCTCTGGAATGGTAATGTTAGTGCTTCCACCTCTGATCTACCATCTTCCTCCCCTCTATAATGATTTTTTGGTGACAAGTTGTGATGTGCTTGGTTGTGGGAAAGTTGTATATTTTCACCATACCTCTTCCTGTTTATTAAAGCCCTTTTCTACTACTTTTCATTAGTAATACTTATCATTAGACTCATCTTGGCAGCATTTTACTCCTAACCCGGTTTATTCTGCATCTCAGCTTCTAAGTGCTGCTGCTCCCCAGCTCCCTGTCACCTGTTTTGGGAGGGGAGACCAGATCTTAGCAAGCAAGAAAGGGTGAAAGTAGCACCTGAAAGATGTCCAGAGAGGGTTAGCTTGCGAGAAGCCACCATCACAGAGAGACAGCCATGATGCCACCCCATATAGGGATCTGGGTGTTAAATACCCTGGCCTCCCTTCCTTTCCTCCTCTCGATCTTGTGCATAGCATAACCTGCTCAGAATCCAGCAGGCAGAGGATCCTCTTGATGCCCATGTGGCGCTTCCTTAGGGGCAGCGAGCACAGTGAGAGGGTGCTCCTTTCCCAGTGGTCTTGCTGGCTGTCGCCGAGTGATGTCACTCAGATGTGGAGAGTCATGGCGCTCTCCTCTCGCTTCACGTCATATCCCTTGTCTGTAATTCCCGTTCACAGAAACACTGCTAAGTGTAGAACAACTACTGCATGTGTGGCAGCCCAGACCACCAATTTACTTGAATCCCAGTGATATTTACTTTTAAATCAGATAAAATAGCTTCCTTGTCCTGCCTGAAGATCATCTCAGACCAGAGATGCCTTATTCAGTGTCTCCACTGTGGCTTCCTCGTCAGTTGTGGTGGAAACAGGCTGTTTGGACCATCTCTCGCCTTGTTCCATCTGGCTATGGGAGCAGTGTTCTTGGCAAATACACCCTTCAGCTATGGCGCCAAGTTGCCTAGGAACCTGTGCCTGGTTCAGACCGGCTTTCTACACTTCCTAGAGAGTGTTGTAGCTGCCAGGGCAGGAACAAGTAAAGCACCATATAGATTAGTTTTTTTTAACCTTCTCAGGCTGGTCCACTGTAATTTTATTTGTGTGGTTGTATATGAATTCTTCAAGTATCATAGCAGAGAAAGAAACTAGTGTCAGTTGCTTGGTGCTATACTTTAACAAATGTATATTGTATTAAATTATGCTTAATAAGGCAGGCAAAATGTTATGCTTTTCTTGTATTGGGACTTAAATGAAATGTGGTAGCGTTCCAGCATTTGTGGGTGAGAATTTGTCCCATGTTAATGATTTTTGAAAATATGAATGTCTGAATAGTGTTCTTCAAATTTTACATGAAGGGGATACACATTTCTTCTCTGATAGTGATTGTGTATTTTGAATAATGTGTACCTTAGATATTCCGATACTGCTTAAAAATTAGGAGATAGTTTTCATTTTTGCATGTAAATTATTTGGATTAAAAAAATCTTTCAGGCTCATGATTTTTCTAGATTGTAATCTATTCCAAATTAAAGCTTGGGGAAAGAAAACTGTTAATAACTTAAAAATAGTCTGCAGCCCCTTTGAAATATGCAAGCCAAAAGAATGCGTAAAGAGAACTGGGTACCAGCATTCTTAAGTTGCTGAAAAATTACTTGAAAGAATTCCAAGATATCAACACTGTAGGCTTAGAAGAAAAATTTTCTGTGAGGATTGTTGTTTGCAAAACATAGGCATAATTTTAACAGCTATCAGCTAGCATAATCCATCTGAGATAAATTTGTGTAAAGTAAAATGATTGAATGCACTTTAGAGTAGGCCAGCAGACTGTCTCTGAGGGCTGGAATGGCCTCCAGGAAAACATTTTAATCTTCCATAGCTTCAAGATATCTCAAGTTAATTCTATTTCCTTCATCCCTGCTAAGCTCTTCATAGAGCTTGAGAGCATAACAAATTATGGCTTCTGAGAAATACTGTGTCCTATAGTCATGGTGCAGTAATTGTTTGGCAAATCAAATTCATCTCTGAAGATAAATAGATTTAAAGGATGTGTGTGTGCTTTCTTGGTGCCATTAACTTGTATGTCATTAAAATTTAAATAACTTGTTGGCATTTTCACCTATGGCTAGTTAGCTCCCTGATTTGTATAACTTTAATACCCCTTACCCCTAACTGTGGTCAAATGGGTTTTGTTTGGCAGGACTCAGAAGGTGTGGACATCAAGCTGGGTGTATGTGCTAATGGGCTCCTCATTTACAAAGATAGACTGAGAATCAATCGTTTTGCTTGGCCGAAAATCCTGAAAATTTCCTATAAGCGCAGTAACTTCTACATTAAAGTCAGGCCAGCAGAGGTAAGCAATGTACCCTTAGTGAATCTAATCAGTTGTCAGTGTTCTATACTCAAGGAGAGCTAAATGAATTCCTTTTCACTAAAGTCTTAAGAAAATGAGTTATTCCTTACTTTTCTGTGATAAAAAGGTCAGGGTTCTTGATGATAAACCTGCATATGCAAATTCCTATTGCTAAAAATCCATAATACTACCACATCTTGCTTAAAAAAAAAACCAGCCTAGCACATCATGTGTGCTCACTTTTTCTTGTTGAATCATTTAAGTGGTGGAAGTCAGTTAGAAGAGTGCATGGAGATCAAGTAGGCAGTGAAGAGTAGTTGGTTTATGTGTGTAAACACTTGCTTTTCATGAATAGCACTGTTGCAGTCTGTGAAAAATTTATTAGATATAGTTACCTAATGGTTACCCTGCTGAAGAATTACTTCTTACAGAAAAAAATTAATGCATGTTTATTTGTAGCTTCTCATCAGTGCCCAAGGAAATCTGCTGACTTGTTTTATGGATTCCTTACAGCTGGAACAGTTTGAGAGCACCATTGGATTCAAACTGCCGAACCATCGGGCAGCGAAAAGGCTATGGAAAGTGTGCGTGGAGCATCATACTTTCTACAGGTAATGTTCATAGGTCATCCTGGCCTTGCCTTTGGTCCTCTGTGGATTGGAGACCCTGCCTCTGGTTCCATATTGGTGCTATGTCTCCTCCGTTCGTGCAGCCCATTACCTTGTCCTTCTCTGTTTCGTAAGGCCACACAGTGTCCTGCCTGCCACTGTCCAGAACTCTGCTTGCTGCATCGCTGCCTTTGCTTCTACCTCTGTCACATGGCCTCTCACCTGCCCTGCTGTCCTTTGTTACTGTCGCCCATCTGAGATTTACCTTAGGTAGATGATCTCACTGGCTGCCTTCTGACTTCTTGCCCATGTCTGCCTGCACTCTGGTGTGTCCCGTAGGCTGTTCTGTCAGGAGTTCTCAAACCCCCATGTTCTTGTCCTTCTTGTACCCTGCCTTCCCAGTCTGCTGGTGCTGACCTCACCTGGACCTGTGCTGTCAAGTGCTGCAGCAGGTCTCTCAGCTGTGGTGACACAAGTGGTGACTCCTTACAGCAGGACAGTTGTAGTAATACAGCCTGGAGGTTGGCGCTGTTACAGATAATTTCCAGCATTAGCGAGACCCTCGGTGCTTCCTGCCAGCACACCTGCCTTTCTTTGTCACCTGCTGCTCTCCACCCTGCGGAGTGCTCATCGTTGAAGCTGTAGGTTGGAGTGTTCTTCTTCATGAAGTGTCACTTCTCTCTATTCTTTGTATCTGCTGTTTCAGTTACCGCTCTGCTACTTCATTTTTTGCCTCAATTGTTTACTTCTTGTGGAGTGCCTTTGACTCCTTTGGCCAATAAATATGCCTTGCTCCCTTTAAGAACGCAGAAAATTGCCAAGCATGGTGGCACATGACTGTAATCCCAGCGCATGGGAGGCTGAGGCAGGAGGATTGTCTTGAATTCAAGGCCAGCCTGGGCTACATAGCAAGTCCCTGTCAAAAAAAAAAAAAAAAAAAAAAAAAAAAAAAAAAAAAAAAAACCCAGAAAATCTCCTTTGATGACCCCCAAGCTAATTGCCTTTAGCCTGCTTCTCTTTCTCTGCTTTTCTTTGAGGGCACATTTTTTATAACTACTTTGGTTACCTTCATTTCCTGTCACTGCAGTCTAAAGTATATCTAGACCCTTCATTTTTAAGGTTTGGACTTGGGTTTAGGATCTAATACTATTCTATCATACTAGCTGTATAACTTCCTTCTCATCAACCATATGTAATTCTAAAATAATGTCCAACGTAGTATTGTTTTGAAAAGTAAATGAGATTGTATATATGAACAAATTTAGAACCATTTGTTATATAGTAAATATGTTTATTATCCTCACCATCTGTATTATTATTCTTCATTTGGTACCACTTTGATTTAAAGCAAATTGCCAGATTGTACAGATGATTCCTCCTTAGCATTAAATTGAACGGATCTATTTTCAAAAGTAATTAACTCATTTTAGAGGAGAAATAGAATCCATAAAATATACCTGATTCTATCCAACTCAGTCAACTGAAATCCTTGGAAAGTTTACAGTTTCTCTTGGTTGGCCAAATTAAATTTCTCAAGACTTCAAGGACCAGCCTCATCTAAGCTAGTAGATACCATTTAGGACAGAGGACGAGGCTGGGCAGAGCTGGCTTCCCTGTTAAATAATGGTAATACGAGCAGTAATCGTTTCAGAAGTGACAGGTGCTGCCATTCACAGAGCCTTTATGGTTGCATAAAGAATTGATTGCTTCACTTTGCAGTAGCCCCTTGGTTCCTCCCTCACCACAGCAGAGGAGGCTGATGCTCAGGCACCTGAAGAGAGGTGATTCTGGGGTTTAGATGTAAAATGTTTCCCTGAAGTTTCAGGTATCTGGAGGAGGAGGTGTTTGGAAGGTGATTGGCTTAGGGGGTGCTGTGCTCATCAGTACATTCACCCACAGAAGGGTTCACAGCTGAATCCTCTGGTGGGAGGTGGGATGTGGTAAAGGCAGCGCCCTGGGGTTGTGAACTGTGTTCTTGTCCCCAGCTGCTCCCTTCTTTTTCTGCTTTCTGACTGCCATGGTTAAGCAGCGGACCCCACTCTCAGAGTCCTTCCACCATGTTTCCACCTTGGAGCCGGCCAGATAGGGACTGATACGGGCTAAAAAGCACTTGTCCTCCTTGAACATTTTGTCCCAGTGCCAGGAAAGTGACTGATAACAGGTGATGACCTGGCACTTTGACTCCTCACTTCCAGCTCTCCTCATTCTCATGCTCCTATGAGTTTCTGGAGTACATTACCTGTGCCTCAGGCCCCTCCATCTCTTAGGCTAATGTGCCATGAACTGCAATGTAAAAGTAGACTACTTGCTCCTGGAGACTTTTGAGATAACAGTTAAGAGTATTTTATATTTGTAAACATTGAATAATGTTTCCAAAGCTATATGAAATAAGTCTTAACAGAGAGGGCAGATTCTAGTATGTCTGAGTGCTTTAAATCAGATCAGTGAATTTAGCACAGAAAGTGCCAATGACTTCTTTTCAAGTTTTTTTCCTTTTTTCTTGTCTCTTCTGTGATATTAAGGATTGAACCTGAGGCCTTGTGTATACTAGACAAGTGCTATACCACTGAGCTGTATCTCCTGCCTTTTCTTTTGGAGATGAGACAAGTGCTCACTGAGTTCCCCAGGCTGGTCTTGAACTTGTGGTCTTTCTGTCACAGCCTACCAAGTAGTAGGGATTACAGGTGTGCTCCACAGTGCCCAGCCAGATCTAATGATTTCTTTAGAAAATTACAAGGCTTCCCATTTGAAGCTAAAAAAAAAAAAAAAAAAGTTATTCTTTTGATTGGTAGCAAATTGACTTGACTAATACTAGTGGACACTAATGTAATAATGAAGCTGCTACACTTGGCTGAGCATTTGGTCTGTATTGCCTCCAGTTCTAAGTGCTGTACAGGGATTCGTTTAATCTTTACAACACATCTATGGGACAAGTGCTGTCGTCTTTCACACACAGAGGAGCTGAGGAACAGGGAGAAGTTGAGTGTTGTGCCCTGGTCAGATGGGTGAAAGCCCTGGAGTTGGAATTTACACTCAGCAGTGTGGTCTGGGTGCTCCAAGTGTGTTGATGTGCTGTGCTGTCCAGTGCTGCCCCTCAGTGTATCTCCTTGTGCCCTACCCCCCGGAACCTGGAGCCTTGCATGTTCTAGGCAAGAGCTGTGCCTTGAGCTAAGCCTCCAGCCTGTTGTTTTTTTTTTTGTAGGTTTAAGTGAGATATTAACATGAGGCTCTTCCAGCCTGAGAGTTAGCTGTCAATTAAGTTTGGTGTCCTATAGTCCCAGGATCTTAGTGTCATTGGGTGTGTTATAGTGAGCTTCACGGAGAACCATGTCCTGGCTGTGATTAACTCTAGTCATTGATATGTGGGGTTTTCTTGGAATGTTCCTATTTTCAATAGATAAACAATGATACTTTGTAATAGGGTTTAATGAAATTAAAATGTTTACCACCTAAGCAGTAAAATATGTAAAAACTGAATTCCTTTTTTGACATATTTCTTTGATTACCTTGCTCAAGGCCTTTAATATTCAGTTTTTTCTTTTTTCTAGTTTTTATATTCTCAAAAAAAGGCAGATGTCTTATAGTGGTTTTCATCTTATTGCTATGAAGATAGTCAGATTGCAGATCTTGATGTGGAGAATAAAAGTAATATCAGTAGGAAATAAGAGATCTTGAAGTAATGGAATTGAAATGTTTTGTTGCTTGGCCTTCATTTTCTTAGAAAATTTATTTATGTGACCTCTGACTTAAGTCACCAAAGGAATTTCTTTGGAGGAAGTTAATAAAACTCTAGTGTTCCATACAAAAGGGATAGTGGGGTGGGGGTGCAGCAGGGATGTAGCTCAGGGCGCCACGCGCCACGCCTGCCTGGTGAGTGCAAGGTCCTGAGTTTGATCCTTGGTACGGGGGAAAAAGGTCTGGTGTTCTGTTCTTTATTGTTTTGTTTCCATTTAATTGTCACTCAATTACTTAAGAATTTTTTTGTCATCGGAAAATTATATGTAAGCTAATAGTTTTTATGAGGTCACTAGTGTCAAGCAGACCAAAAGTATTTCACACCATTTTAAAATAAAGTAAAAACCCATGTAGTTTATGGCCTTTTTCATTGTAATATTTATTTGACTTTTAAATGTTTTCCTTATATTTATTGGATTTCTGTTTTCATAAAATATCTTCTACAAACTGAATTAATGGATAATTACTTTGATATGCATTTAAAAATGGCAATAACTACTGATCATCACCTTAACACAAATAAATTAGACTAAAGTAATAGTAGTAGTGTATAATTCTTACGTGGACTTAGCTATTGGACTGGTTAGTTGCATATGTCTATATAAATAAGAGGTTACCTTCAGACTTGGGGAAAACCCACAACGAAATCAGCAACTCCATTTAAGAAAATGACTGTTGGGATCGGGGATTTAGCTCAGTGGTTTCACTGCCTGCTTCGCAAGCCCAAGGTCCCAAGTTTGATCCCTGGTACCACACACACAAAAAAAGAAAAGAAAATGACTGCTGTTTTGTTTCATTGCATTGAAACTCAACTCTTCTGTAGTGATTTTTGCAGTGTGTACATGTCAGAAGTTGCAGCGTTTATGTTCTTCAGTGCTGTGACTATGCAAGCTGTGGAGAGAAAACACTGGTCATGGTGACATGTGCCTGCAGTGACAGCTGCGGGGGGTGGTGTGGGAGGCACAAGTTCCCCAGTTTGAGACTGGCCTAGGCAGCATGGCAGGACAGTCTGTGAGCGAGCGGAGAGCAGGGAGAGGAGAGAACAGATGGGTGGGCATGTCGATGTATCATCTTTGGATGGGCTGGATTCTTCAGGTCAAGCGTTCTCATATAGTAAAAGGTAAAAATTGATAACAGGGTCCTCCTTTGCATATATTAATACCTGCTATGTGAAGGTCCCAGCACAGATAGGAGAAGTTACATAACATAAAAGAATAATTAGAATGTCAGGAAACACTGATGGAAGTTTTTAAAATTTTCTTTACAGTTGTTTTCTGAAATGTGACATTTTCTGATCTTTTAAAATATTCAGTTCATTTTGTAAAAGAGGAAAGTTATTTTTAAAAAGATATAACCTTTTATATACATAGTCTTTAAAATGTTTTCCTAATTCCAAAAAACAGATATCCTGTTTCTAGTTTTTGTTTTTCCATTAAGTTTATTGGTACATTTTAGGTATGCAATAGTCACATTTATCATTGGGATCTTGTGCCTTTGCATGATGTATCTTGGTCCTCATTTTTTTCCGCAGAGACCTGCCCTCCCTTCACCCCCTCAACCCTTCCCTATTTACAAAGACTTTGTTTCCGTTTTTTCCTTTTGTCATATTTTTTCTTTTCCCTTCTTTTTTTTCCCCCTACCCTTGCCACTTCCCCTACTCCTTTAGCCCTTTTCTAGTTTTTAATTTTGTTTTGGAGATTTTCTTTTGGATTATCAAATGCATGTTTCTCCATGGAATTATTCTTTTAAAACTTCTCACTTCCTTTAGTTGCTCACTCGGTAACTAAGAGTGACTTTATGAATAGACAGTGTATTTCTCAATCGCTGCACTGATGAGCTTGTCAGAAGTGCCCCCCGCCCCAAATCACCACCATCTTACAGAGCACGCTTACACCCTGGTTAGCTGGATTTCTAGTTGTGGAAACCCATATTAAACCTGCCAGGAGACAGTGCAAGGTAAACATCCACATTTCTCATCCTGCCTCTATGACTCATGAAGAGAATGCTGGGCTTTTTAGCCTCTCTGTGCCTCAATCCTCAACTGGTAGAGAAAAAAAGAATTCAGAGCATGGATTGGGTTCTCTTCTTTTGGCCCAAATTTCTACTATTTTGACATTCTAATTTATAATTGTGCAACTTTTACCAAAGTACAGTTGGAGGCATTGGACACTGTCAGATTGCAGTTTCTCAGTAGTGTCATCTGTGTCTCCTTTGAAAATCTGTTGGCAGGAAATGGAATTTTCTAGAAACATTTCTGCTTTTCTCCATGAATAGATTCAAGCCAAGAATGCCAAAAGTCTGTTAGTTCTTCTATCACTTTGATTCAGATATTGCTTTTTGGGTGATTACTGTTTTGAGAATCTTGAGTCGATGAAGAATTGTTTCAAATTCATTACCTCTGGCTTCACCTTTACTTGGATCTCTTCATTAGTCTAAGCAGAATGAAATTTCTTTAAAAAAAAAAAAGCATACAGAGATCTACAAATAATTGAAATGATACAGTATTTTTTGAGTTTACTTCCTTGGAAAAGTTTTGGTAGAATTCTTCATATTCTTGAATTATTAACTGAAGTCATAATAAATTGTATAAGAGCTCTAAGTTTATCTTTCCGTTAAGCCTTTTATCAACTCTTGATAAAACAATGAAAACAAGGCAGTTTTATTTGTATTCCAAAGAAGATTGACTTATTTACTGAAAATGTATCTTTGCATAAATTTGGAAATATTTGATGTGAAGAAAGCTTGAATTATTATGAACCCAGGGTTTGCACAGAATTGTGCTGGCAAGAAAGAATGTTAGTCATTTGTGTGGATCCACTCGGCTCTGTTCTTCATGGGAAAGATCACTTGAGGGAACAGATTCTTGACTTAGATGTTTTTGTTCCCAGGAGAAATAGGCATAAATATTAAGAATTACTAATGGTAATGGATTGCTACTTGGCACTTAGAGCTAGGAGCAAGAATTTAGACATATGTGTTTATATAATGCTTTAAGCTGTTACAAATAAATAACCCTGATGTACACTGAGAACAGCTGCTGCTGTGCTCAGGTTGAGGAAAGCATTATTCATGAATACATGAATGTAAATGTACACATCCTCATCATAAAACTACACGCATAGGAAGGTTTATACATAACTTTTTATTATAAAGTTTAACATTGTTTTTGAGTAGTCATATGATATATTAAAATATGAAGTTTTCATTTTTTAGAAAATTAATAAAGCCTTAATTGTGTTTTGGCCCTTCTACCCCTGTAGGCTTGTGTCTCCAGAGCAGCCACCAAAGGCCAAGTTCCTGACCTTGGGGTCCAAATTCCGCTATAGTGGCCGCACCCAAGCGCAGACCCGCCAGGCGAGCACCCTCATAGATAGGCCAGCACCACATTTCGACCGCACCTCTAGTAAGCGGGCCTCCAGGAGCTTCGATGGAGGTAAGCGCTGTGATGACTTCGGATTGCATTCTTCTTTCTCTAAATGGTGAGGTCAGAGAAGGTTGATCTAGTTAATAAGAACATCAGAAATACTGCAGAGCAGTGGTGGCAAACCTATGGCCCACTTGTTATTTGTTTTTCTTTTAAGATAAAAGAGGTTAATGATAAAGTTGTTTTTTCTAAAGTAAAACCTCACTCTTTGAGTTTAATTGCAGTATTGGCACTTTGTGATAGATTGGGCTTTGGGTGGCAGTTTGGACAATAACTAAAAGGTCTCTAAAAGGTTTACTATCACTGCTTTCTTGGGATAACTACTTACATCTGAGTGAATAAAATGCTGTTGTGTGCAGAATAAAATAATTTTGTAGTGCTTCCAAGTTGCCATTTCAGACATATATTTTTCTTTGTATTTAGTGCACACAAGTCTTCATTACGAGGTTTTGTTTGTGTTTATGAGATGTTGGAATAACATTGTTATTGGTATGGCTTGATAGTGATGTTTTATATAATTTTTAAATCTCGTGAATGACAGTGTAATTTTAAGGTTTTTTATGTTAACATGAACTTCACTCAGCTGATCGTAAACATTCCTAACATCATCAAATTTTGAATTTTGATTGTAGTTTTTATTGTTGGCATCTCTGCAATACATAATAATTACATTCATCTCGGAGAGTTGGGGGAATACATACCACATCCTGATCGTTTTTACTTCCCCTTCCCCAACCTTGCTCTGCCCGCTTTCCCATATCCTCCTCCCATCCACACAAAGTCTACGTCTCTGTTTCCTACCATCTCTTTCATTTTGCTCTTTATATTTAGGGTTTCTTATATAAGAGAAACTATGTAATATCCTACTGTGTCTCTCTGATTTACTTGACTACATTATGCTCTCAAATTCCTTCCATTTTCTTAACAAATGTATCCTTTTTTAGGGCTAATGTGTGTGTGTGTGTGTGTCCATGTCCACTGATCTGTTGATGGACATATAAACTGCTTCCATAATTTAGCTGTTGTGAGTTGTGCTGCTATAAACGTAGGTATGCATGGTATCACTGTAATATGATGTCTTTATCTTTTTCGGAAAGATGCCTAGAAGAAGAGTAACTGGGTCAAATAGAATCTCTAGTTGTTCTTGAAGGATCTCCTTACTTGTTTTGGTAATGGTTGTAGTAGTTTATACTCCCACCAACAATATAGAAAAAGTTCCTTTTCCCCCACAACCTTGCCAGCATTTGTTGTATTTTGGTGTCTTGGTGATAACTGTCCTTACTGGGGTAAGATATTAGTGTTGTTTTGACTTGCATTCTCTAATGGCCAAAGATGCTGAGCATTTTATCATATGTTTATTGGATATTTGTTTTTATTCTTTTTAAAAAATGTCTATTCAGTTCAATTGCCCAATATTTTGATTGGGTCTTTTATTTGAGGGGCCTAATTTTTTGGACTTCTTTGTGTATTGTAGATATTAATTTTGTGGCTGGCAAATTTTTTCCCCATCTTCTATGTTGTTCCTTCATTTTGTTGGTTGTTTCCTTTGCTGCACAGCAGCTTTTTAAGAATTTTATAGGATCTCATTTGTTGATCCTTAGAGTTATTTCTCATGTAGTTGGGATTCTGTTCAGGGAGTTCTTGCCTGTGAGTAGGTCTTCAAGAGTTTTACCTACTTTTTCTTCCAGCAGACTCAGCATTTCAGTTTTTATATTTAGGTCTTTGATACATTTTGATTTGATTTTGGTACAGGGTGAGAGATTTGGGCCTGGATTCATTCTGTGTATAGGTAACCAGTTTCCCCAGCATCATTTGTTGAAGATGCATCTTCTCTCCATTGTATGTTTTTGGCCCTTTTGTCAAAACTCAGAAGGTTAAAAGTGCATGGATTGTTTCTGCATCCTAACTTCTATTCCATTGATCAACATGTCTGTTTTTGTGCCAGGACCAGGTTGTGTTTGTTATTATTCCTTTGCAGAGTCTAGGATTGTGATGCTTCCTGTTTTTTTTCGTTCAGGATTGTTTTTGTAATCTTGGGTCTCTTGTGGTTTCATATAAATTTTAGAATTTTTGTTACAGTTTTATGAAGAAAGCTTATGATATTTTGATTGGATTTGTAATAAATCTATCATTTTTTTATAATATGACCATTTTGATATTATTGGTTCTGCCTATCCAGGAATTAGGGGTGTCTTTCCATTTTCTAATGTCCTCTTTAGTCTCTTATTTTCAGAGCACTATAGTTTTTGTCATAGAAGTCTTTCCTTTCTTTGGTTAAGTTAATTCCTAAGTATTTGACTTTTTTGGAAGGTATTATGAATGGAATTGTTTTCCTGATTTTTCAGTAGGTTCATTGTTGGTCCCTTGTCTTGTTCCTAATTTTAGAGTGAATGCCTTTTTCCCCCAATATACCATTCCTTTATTTTTTAAATGTATTTTATAGAATTTTATTTCTTTTTAAAATTTTTGTTAGCACTGTACATGTTTGCAGTTCATAATGATTTTATGTGCTTGGGAATTGGTACATGTACATAACACATTTAAATCCTTTTTTCCCTTTCTCCCATCCCCTTTTATTTTTATAGCATGGTTCATTTATTTATAAGACCATATGAAATTGATTATATTAAAAACCAGACTAGTAGGCCAAAGAAAATATGAAACATGCAAGAGAGTTGTATTAAGTCAAAGTATACTGTTAGATAAATTGTCCATGCTGGACTATAATACTTTTTCTCTCTTTTTTCCTATTATGTTTTCATTTTGTAGTATATGAGTATGTGTGTGTGTGTGTGTGTGTGTGTGTGTGTGTGTGTATATGTGTATATATGTATGTATGTATATGTATATGCAGTGGTACCTCAGTTCATGAAATTAATTTGTTCTGCAGTTTTGGAAAAGATGGCCACATTTGTATTTGTGTGGGAAAGGTTGCAGTCATGTTTGTCATCCAATGCAGAGTTTGTAAACAGAAGCCAAATTTTGCCAAACACTTCTGTTTGCAGATCAGATTGTTTGCAAACAAAAGGATTCACTAACTGAGGTACCACTGAATTAAGTTTTTCATATACGAGAAACCATGCAGCGTTTAAGTTTGTGTGTCTGAGTTGCTTCACTTAACATTATGATCTCAAAATACATCCATTTTCCTATCAGTAACCCAAGTCTATTCTCTTGGGCAGATTAGTACTCCATTGTCTATAAATACCATATTTTCTGTATCCATTCATCTGTTGACAGGCATATAGACTGATCCCAAGATTTAGCTGTTAAGGATTGTGCTGCTTATAAACACGGGTATGCATATATGACTGTGGTATGATGTCTTTAACATACCACAGTTACCTGGAAGGGCAACAGCTGGGTCAAAGGGGATTTCTAGTTGTAGTTGTTTGAGGAATCTCCATACTGATTTCCATGGTGGTTGTGTCAGTTTACAATCCCACCAACATTGGAGAAGAGTTCTTTTTTCCTTGTATCCCAGCCAACCTTTGTTACTGGTTGATCTCTTGGTGATAGCCATTTTTTCTGGTGTCAGATGAAATCTCAGTGTTGTTTTAATTTGCAATGCTCAAATGGCTGGAGATAACTGAAATTTTAAAAATGTGTTTATTAGCCATTTATATTTTTTCATCTGAGAATTGTTCATTTCTGATGCTCATTTTTATTTAATTTTTTTTTTTTTTTGTGGTACCGGGGATCGAACTCAGGTCCTTCCGCTTGCGAGGCAGGCCACCGAACCGCTGAGCTAAATCTCCGGCCCCTTGATGCTCATTTTTAAAGGCCTTTAAATTTGGGGGATCTAACTTTTTTTAGTTCTTTATATATTCTGCATATTACTCCTTTGTCTGAGGAATACTTGGTGAACATTTTCCCATTCTGTGCATTGTCTCTTCACTCTGTTGGAGTACTTTGTTGTGCAGAGGCTTTTTAGTTTGATGTGATGCAGAGCAAATGCTTTTAGTTTTTCCCTATTTAATATGATGTTAGGTTTGTCATAAATGGCTTTTCAATAGTATACTTTTCAATAGTGTATTGATTTTTGTGTGTTTATTTTGTGTCCTGCCATTTTGGTAAATTTATTAGTTTTGAGAGTCTTGGAATTCTTTGGTTCTTCTGTGTAAAGAATCTTATCTTCTGCAAAATAGGATAGTTAGCTTTCTTCCTTTTCTGTGTGTATCCCTTTTATTTCTTTTCTTGCCTGCTTGCAGTTTTTTTTCAAGTGCCATATTGAACAGTGGTGAGAGTGAAAAACCCTTGTCTTATTCCTGATTGTATAGCAATTGCTTTTAGTTTTTCACTATTTAGTATGATGTTGGCAGTAGGTTTGTCTTCAGTGTCTTTTATCATTTTGAGGGAAGGGCCTTCTACACATAATCTGTAATTTTATGTAAACTAACCATGGAAATAAATTAATGTTGCTATTCTCCATAATGTTGCTTTTCTTCTGTCTTGTAATTTATCAATTTTAGATTAATAGTAAATTTCGTATAAAAGAAATAGGTTAAGTTTCTACTGAAATGCTTTATGAAGGACTTGGATTTCTTTCTGCTAACCCTTCAGAGTGGCTGGCTGATTTGGGAGATAGAAACAGACTCCCTTTTAAATTGTTAAAAGGTAGTGCCTCACCATTGCCTCCACAGTGTTGCCAGAAAGTGCTGGTATGGTAATTTTTTTTTTTTTAACCAGAAGAAATAATTTCCCTGCATTTTTATTACGTTTGATAGTAATATTAAATTTGGAATTTTTATTTTATTTTCAACAAATAATGGTTTTGGTTAGTACTTGCTTTTTTCTGAAATATGAACATTACCAACTTGTTCTTTAAGTAACTAAGTAAAACATACCAGACATATGCTACCAGATAAAAATGTTCTTTTATTAGTGAAAGATTGAAGCCTGTTAGCCTCAGTTTACTTTTCCTAGGAAAAGGTTTCGAAACAAGTGCAGGTGCATACACACACATGTGTGTGTGCATGCTGGGGTTTGTCAGTGGGCACTTGGTACACACAATTTGCAAATCGTGACTCCAGAGAATGTTCCACATGTTTGTATGAGCCCACTCAAAAACATGTGCAAGGGCAGCCTGACTGCTTCAAGCGAATGCCCACATTTCCAAATGTAGTGATTTAGATTCAGTGAATTATTGATGTACTACAGCTTACCAACAACTGAGCACTTTTCCAAGGAAATCTTAAAAATGTGCCAACCCATGTAAAATATTTCTCAAACTTTGCCACAGATAATTTATACAGTGTCGAACAAATGAATCACTGTTTTTTAATGCCACGAGATAAATCATGCTCTTTCTACATCACTGTTTTCAGCCTTTGTTTTACTGTGAGGCTCTGTGACTCTTACATTGCAGTTTTAGGGTGTTAAAAAGAGCAATAAACCAGTACATTTTCTTAGAGGTATATAAACCTTGTGTGATGAAACTCACCATGTTGTTTGTGTGGTTAGCGCAGAGGGTTGGTTATAGGAGTCTGTATCAGAAAACAATGATTTTTACAAGCAAGAGCAACAATCACAGCACAGTAATCCATTATTTCTGGCTTTGTGTTTTGGACACTGTAATTCATCAGATGGGCAAGTCATCAAAAGGATTATTGTGTTATGGAAAGATAGGAGGCTTTTCATGCCAGTATATGACCAGTCAGTGAGCGAACTCTTTGGAGCTTATGATTTTTTTCCTCCTGAAGCAAAGCTAGGATTTAATCTGATACTGAGCTTTATCTTCTCCCATCATTCTTCATCAGTATACCAGTTTTGTTGCTATTGATATCTTGCTTTTTGTTTACTTTTTAAAGTTAGTTTAGAATAATTTAGTTAAATAAATAATCCTCACTTGAAAGTTTGGCAAATGAAATTCTCTAGTGATTACAGGGAAAGTACAAATCAATTTGATTTCTAAAGGCCAAATATCAAAATAAAAACCAACCTAGAATGTAATAGTTATTTTTAAGCAGTGAAACTCCTCTGAGATTAGGAAATTATACCAAAAAGGAGGCAAATCAGTCACTGAAGAGGACTAACAACCAAGGTGTATTTGGAAGTAGGAAGCCAGTGACTTCTGAGAATGGAAAGTTTAACACAGGAGGAAACTGCGTGGGTGGGAGCATCAGGGAATTTGCTTGTCTCAGGAAGAATCAGTACAGGTGAGACTTGAGGATGAGGGGGAGGCAGCCACGAGAGCAGATGGCGGATCATTCCAGGTGGCAGAAGCGACAGGACTGAAGGCTGCGAAGTGCAGGAGAGCTGTATACATCTGAGAAACAAAAAGAAGGCAGCCCAAGCAAGGCTTAGTCATGACGGGAGAGGCTGGCTGTGGTTGGGGCTCCCAGGGCCTTGTAGGTCATGGTGAAGAGTGGTTTTTGCTTTCCACATGTAGAAACCATGTTTGGGTGCATATGTTCCCAAGAGCACATAGTGCAAGGTGTTTTCATTTTTAAAAATCTTTTGAGGTGAGAGAACAGTCGGACAGGATTGGTACAGAAAGCAGGTTTAGCCCAGTCGAAGTGATGGTGTTAGCAGTCTGTTAGTACCATGGGCTTGGCTCCGTGCCCGCCTGCCAGCTTCTCGGGTGGGAGCTCCAGCCCTCTGTGGGGAGATGAAGGGAGCAGTGGAGGCCAGGTTTGCTGGGGCGAGGGTGGCAGTGGTGTCTCACGGTAGGTCAGGTTGAAACGTGCAGGAAGAGTGAAGAAAGTGAAAATACTAAACATAAACATAAGTGAAGTCCTTAAAATCTAGTCTTGTCCTTGGTGTTCAAATTAAGTTTCTTTGTGTATGACTTCTTAAGTTTTATTGAAACAAGTCCTTTCAATAATTAGATAATTAGGGGCCGGGGATTTAGCTCAGTGGTTCCGCTGCCTCCTTTAGTGCAAGGACCCAAGTTCGATCCCCAGTACCCCCCCCATTAGATAATTATTTGTTCCAATAGGTAGATTCAGGTGAAATCTGGTAAATCCAAGTGAGATTCAAGTAAATCCAGGTGAGAAGAGATGCAGAGACCTACCTATAAAATATTGATGAAACTATTCTGACAATTTGCCCTCGGTGTTTTAGCTGGTGTTAGAGCTCCTCCTACCGACCAGTGACACGATCACAGCATATCCTTCAAAAATCTGACTTGAGAATGATAAATGTCGGTCACTGGGTTAAGATTCAGAATACTATTATAGTTGGATAAAAGTTTAAAGATGAGTTTATTTTACATATTGATCCTTTCAGAGATTAGTGTTCTTACTCTTGTTATTTTACACGATACCATTTATCTGTCTAGGAGGGAAGTGGTCTGTAAAGCTTTAACCATTTACATGTCCTGAAGTAATCAAAAATTATTTTCACCAGCTCTGATTGGTGTTGGAGACCAAACTCCTGTGAAGGATTTTCCTGGTGCTGTGGGGGATGTCTCAGCGCGCGGCCCTGGGGTCGGTGGTGCTGCCAGGGTCCAGGATATGAGGAGCCCAGCCAGAGCCCTGCACTCACAGCTCTCTGAAGGAAAGGTATGGAAGATCAGTCTTATGTGGTTCTAAATGAGCCTTAGGCTGGAAGCTGGCAGTTGGCATTTTCTCTTTCAGAAATCAAATATTTATAATTTATCAGTGTATGTTCTATGTTGGTAATTTCCCAATTTTCAAATATGTGAAGACTCTTGCTGGTTTGGATTGTGACCTTACTTTAGTTGTTATTCAGAACGATTTCAACATGAATTACATTAATGCAATTAATTGACCTTTCTATCTTTAAATCACATGGTGATTTAGAATTTATAGCTTGTTACAAATAGATTTAAAGTTTATTTAAATTATGTTGATTTGAATTTTTTGAAATAGAGGTAATCTTTATGAAAATTTTCATTTTTCAGTACTTACCTGTAACTGATAAAGAAATTTTTAACACAGAGAGTACTTGCTTTGTGAATAGTGATGAGAAATTGATGTGTTGCTTTTGGCTCTATTTTGTTTATTTCCCACAGTGTGTGGAGAAGTAACCTATGTGGTGTTCTCACATTTGTCACTGTTATGCTCCCTTGGGCAGCGGTATTGAATAACCTTTGAGTTCTTCGATCTCGTTGCCTTATCTATGCAAAGCAACATTTTATGTGCAACACTGAAAGGCACAAGCGTGTGTGCATGCACACCAAACAAAACAACAGAATTATCCCACCGATGATTTTAGCTTTGAAAATTTTAAAGACCTATAAAGTGAGTTTATAGAGGACCTGCTAAATGAAGTAGTGCCAGTGCCTTAGGAATTCCTTCAGTTAAAACCGCAGATGCTTACAGTGGAGGTCTCAGGGCCTTTGTGGGCTCTCTCTGTGCCACGTGGACAGTAACAGGTGGCATAAAATCATTTATATTCTCTTGTTAAAGAATTGTGACTGTTGTCTTGAAAATTACACAAGCCAGGTGTGGTGGAACATGCCTGCATTCCCAGTACTCTGGGAGGCTGAGGCAGGAGGACCGCAAGTTTAAGCTCAACCTGGGCAGTTTAGGGACTTGGTGATAACACCTCCTTTCCCCCACCGCCACCAAAGACTGGGCTTAGTGCAAAGGCCCTGGGTTCAATTCCCAATATTGTACCAGTACTGCAGAACTGACAAACAGAAACTGCCTAAGAAGATACCCTTCAACTGCTGAGTAATTGTTAGAATTGTTTACTAAAATTAATTATGCTAAGGAGGCACCCAGGAGAGTGACTATTTACTCCCGAAACAGGAACACAATATTTCAGAATGTTTCTGTTCCATTTTCCCTGTTGAATTTGACATACATAGTTGTGTTTTACATTATTTTCTTTTTTTAAAACAAGAAAATGTTCTTATCTGTAAAATTCAAAAAGAATCTTGTCTTTAGCAAATGACTGTTTGTGCTGGCTTTTTTGTTAGTGCTTTGAGTGTTTATCAGCATCCAGCTGTTAGAGTAAATAATGCCAATTGAGTTTCATAGGATTCATGTGGAACCAGTTTGAAAATAATAATTATATCGGTTGGTACTTATAAGTTTTAGGTAATTAAAGCATTTTTCTCTTTAAAGATCCTATGATTCATTTTCTAACTACACTGTTAATACAAAACCTACTTGAGAGTAAGTTCTCACTAACTACCCATTTCTTCTTTTCTATAGTCCATTTTTCTCTTTAAAGATCCTATGATTCATTTTCTAATTACACTGTTAATACAAAACCTACTTGAGAGTAAGTTCTCACTAACTACCCATTTCTTCTTTTCTCCTTTCCTTACATCCCTCTTTCCTTTGAACATGCCTATTGTGTGACTCATGTTCAACCCTGGGTTTGCCCTTGAGAACAGACTGTCTGCATGTGCCCGCCCTCCCCTCTCCTCCGCTGTACCTCACCATTTGCTCCATACCTCCTGCCAGTCCCTGAAGTGGACTTGCTTTCAGACATTTCAGAGGAGGGCCCTTTTGGGGAGGCTGAGCAGCTCACCCTAGATGGCTCAGAGCGCCTTTCCACAGGGGAAGGTTCAAAGCAGGGGGGCCCTCTCAGGGTCTTGGATCCTGCCCTAGACCCTGCTCAGCCTGAGTGCCCTCCCATCCACGAGAGGACTCTTAGTTTGGGTACCCAGGAGGGCTCTGAGTTTGGGTACTTCTCCTTTGGCTTCCCCTCTCTCCTGGATGAAGATGGGTACCTCGCTTTCCCCAGCCTCCCCAAGCTCTGGGTCTCCTTCCTTCCCCCCGACGTTCAGCACTATGTCCCTATCACCTCCCCATCATTCATTCCTTCCCTCATCCTCATCTTTGGGCTACTTCTCTCTGCTTCTCAGTCCGTTCCTTTTTCTGTCACCTTTTCCCTTCCTCTGGCTCTAGCCCTCTGTTATCTGGAAGCTAAAGCCACTGCCTTTAATGTTTCTTATGACTGTGACTTGAATGATAAAACAGAGGAGGGGGAGGCAGCTGCTGGCACTCCTCCATAAGCTAGTTTTGTGAAGTCAACCAGTCTACACTTCATCTCGTACCCTTCCTAACATAGAGTGTAAACGTGCATAAACTTCACTAAAAATTACCCTCAAATTAATATCATCTGCACATTTTCATACTGCACCGATGCCCTTTGACCAGGTCCCATACATTGTAAGTCAAGAGCAAAATGATAAGATTATTTAAAACGTACCTAGATCATGTTAGATTTTTAACAAAAGGGGAGTAGGGGAGAGGGAATCTGTATTATCCTTAAATTTATATTGACTTTTTTGCAGATAGATGTTGACACCTTTTTTTAGGATAAGAACTTTGTTTGAAACAGAACTTAGAATGCAATGTAACAATAACAGATGTGTATTAGAATTCCTTAGTGTTATTTCTCCTGGTCACAATCCATGCTTGTTCTTTCAGTTTTGAGGCCATATATGTGGGAGTCTTTGTAAGTCTAATCTCAGAAACTCCTTGTCTCCTATCGTTGTAGCATTTGGGTCCAGATAGATAAATTTTAGCTAGTGCCTCCCAACTCTCAATCATACAATTATGTAAAAGAATCACAGTCATGTTTTATAATGAAGATACTATTCTGTTATCTTTAACAAATGCATGTGGACAATGAAACATGACTTTTTGAAAGCTTAGAAGTAGAACATTAACGTTGAGCCTTTATTTTTATTGAAAATGAGCTTTAAGTACTTTTTAAAAATCCCCATATAAGCAGCTTTTAAAAAATATATTACCTCTGCACTATTAAGTCCGTGTAAACATGTACAGTATGTTTTTTACTTATTTTGCTAAGTGTGGCCCGGTGATTCAATGTATGGTGGCTTATGGATATTGTCAGTACATAAATCACAAAATTCAGAGTAGAGCTAAAGAAAATGTGAAGAAATGCAATGAGTGTACATTGTAGAGCAAACCACAGTTCAGAACTTTACCTGAGAGATATCAGAGATCAACATTTTAGAGAATTAAGTATTGACTAAAGAATTGAAAGATGATTCTTAACAGCTTACTGTGTAGCTGTGTCTTATATTTTTTCATTTCTGATGAACTCTTTGAGCTTCCAGCTTATCTCACAAAAATGCTATGGTTACCAGAAATGAAGGTGAGCATTTTGAACTCTCAGATTTGATACTAGCAAAGAAAGAAATGAATATTTGCTATGAATTAGCCTGTGAAGGTCATCTTTCCTTGATATCAGAAATCAGTATTTTTTTTTTCTGATGTCAAAATTAATGTAGTACTTAAACTTCAAATTTATGTTTTTGTGTCATTAGATATTGAGAAAACTCCAATTATAAAGAACTATTCTTACTCAACTTGTTATATGAAAGACAGGGCTATATTTCAAAGATTACTTTAAATACCTACCATTTTAGTATAACATAGCCAATTTTTCTCCCAAGTACTTTCTTTTAAACTATATTTAAAAATTAGTGATGGGGTAAACTTTAATGATGTAAAATCTGTAGCCAGCATAAAGCTGAAAACAAATTTTATATCATTATCCCCATCCCCAACACTAGTTGACTTAGGCATTTCAAAATAGATTATGCCATGTTTGCACTCATATTTCTACTCCTGGGTTAAAAAACATACTCAGAAGCAGAGCACAGTCTTAGGGACTAAGAAGGAGTGAAGGTTCCATTCTCCATTCCACCCTTGCAAGGATCATTTCCATCATGTATACAACACTGTAGGTGAAGAAAGACCAGAGTGGATTAATAGTCTGCATCTTCTGGGGCCAGACAACAAAGGTTGGTAATGCTGCACCGCCGTCTAAGTTCAGAAGCAGCTTCTCCGCTGATGGTAGAGTCCCGTTAATGCTCCCCTTCGTTCTGGCAAATGCTGTGTGACCTTTCAAGTGAAGACAGAAGAGGAAGTACAGTAGGAAGAAGGCACTATTTTCCCTCTAAAGTTAAATATCTGCCATTATTGTTGAGGGGTGGTAGTGGAACGTACTTCCAGGATTTGTTGGGCCTTTAAGTTCTTAAGATTTGAATCTTCTTTTATTTTAAAATCTTAGACTGTCAAACTTTGGGTCATTTCTGGTGCTTGCTGATTGATACACTTATGTTTATTTGCCTTTTTCTCCCTGTGTGTGATTTAATTTCACAGAAAAATTCCCTGAGAGTAGAAGGGGATAATATTTATGTCAGACATAGCAATTTAATGTTGGAGGTTTGTATAATCTAAGAACACCACTCTGTCCTAATGGCTGCCAGGCTGCTGTGGACGGGAGGTCACGCACAGGCTCGCTGGCAGCTTCCTCAAGCACAGTGCATGAAACGCATGGGGAGACAGAGCTGGGCTGCATGTTACCAGGCCTGCTTAGTTCCTGTACCAGGGGTGTAGGGAGGAATAGACCCACTGCATTCTGAGTGACGGCTGGGAAAAAGCTCTTGTAGTCAAATGAGTAAAGTGGATCTGTTAGTCTTACGGTTGTTCCATAAGTAAACCCATTTTCCTAATGGGATATTTCTAGGCCATAGAATCTGAAGTAGCACAATCCCATCTTTGATACATGTTAAGTAGAACAGGTGTTTATCTGACATTAAATCATTTGTCTCTTATCTATGCCCACTTCCCCCATCCCTAAATTCCATGTAACTACAAGTGTGGTCCACTTAAAATATTGTTTGTGAATATGTATATTAATTAATGGAATTATTTTGATTAGAAAGAAGGGAGAGAGAGAGAGAGTGACAGAGATAGGGAGAGAATATGTGCACGTGAGAGAGGAGGCCTAGTCACCCATGTCACGTGAGAGTGCTTGCTCCTTCTCCCGCTGGGCTAGGTAGTATGTGGCAGTGTATTTAGTGGACAGCTGAAGCTCTCAATAATCTGACTAATCTGGTTGCTTTTGGCGGCTTTGATAACTGTTGAAAATGTATTTTTGCTTAACTTACTAAAATTCTGTATGGTGTAATAAGTAACATTGCTTTGAATAAATGCAAGAAATGTGCCTGATCTCAAGCCACAGTCATTTTCCCTTGCCATGCAAAGATTTTTAGATTTTCATGAGTTTTTGCAAATGGCTACAGAAGCTCACAGTTGAGCTACTATGCTTGTGCATGAATATGAGTTATCTAATTATATCAGATGCATGACCTGTTCCTTTGGGAGTGGGACAAAAAGCTGTAATCTCCAGGTAGCCCTTTGATTTTTGAAGCATCAGAAAACATTTGAAATTCAGTTGAAACACTTTGTTAAGCATTAGTTACCACATATATCATTTATTAGAGCCAGTCTGCAAAAATCCTACTGATATTGTATGTCAGGGCCTGCTTCAGTGAAAACCATCCTGGTAGTTTGCTTGCATCTTCGTATAAGGAATATTTGATGTGTGCAATATCTGAGCCCCATTTTTGTGCTTGGCGCTGAGACCAGTATGTGATTCATTATTTTATAGCAAGACCAAGCAGAAGCAGCCTCTGGAGGCAGTTGTTGTTGTTGTTATTATTTTTTTAAGGATTAAAAACCACCACTGGAATTTCCTGACAAAAGTTAGTCTTTGATTTTTCCTTTTGTAGGGGATGATCCTGGACTGGCTTTCCCCTCAGGCCCAGTGTGCTTCTGAGTATGCCTCTCTGTTTGTGCCTCTCTTCACTTACTACGTTCATGCAATACAGGGTTAGTAGTAGCCTAGTCAGAGTTAACTGTGTAGGAACAAAGTCAGGCTGCAGTTCATCTTCAGGAAGAGGAGGATTATTAGCCATTTTTGACAGTGTGTTCCATGGCTTCCTTCTACTAAATGTGCAGAATTTGAAAATTCTACACAGAGAAATTAAAACTCTTTAAAATACAAATAATGAAAAAATATACATTGGCTTTATTTTCAGTAAAGGCAAAAATACATATGGCTTTTGAGACTTGGCATTTTTCTTGCTTGACTATGTTTTTTTTAATCATAAGTTTGCTTTGTGTTACTTTTTATTTTTGTCCTACTGGGTTTTTTCCCTTTGGATTTCCACCTTTACGTTACATATTGCTAGGACCTGGATAAAGCCCAGGAGGACATACTGAAACATCAGGCTAGCATTAGTGAACTCAAGCGCAATTTTATGGAATCCACACCTGAGCCGCGCCCTAACGAATGGGAAAAACGACGTATCACACCTCTGTCCCTACAGACTCAAGGGGTATGTCACTAGCTGTTTGTTGGCCGTATGTCTCTGGTTGTTCAGTAAAACTCAGGTTGTTAATCTTGTATGTTGATTCTCAGAAGTTAGAAAATATTCTCATTTCTTTTTGTAATTGCTAACAACTTTTAAAATACTAAATATTGATTAACAATGTAATATTTATTGGCCTAGTTCTTTGGTAAATTGTCTGAGTTTCAAAATAGTTTTGAAATATTTTCAGGGCAATCTCACTGTTTTATTCAGGTCATGTAAGACTTAATTTACTTATACAACAATTAGAAATTTACATAATTGTTTTGTTTAAGCTTCTTAGTTATTGACTTCTTAAATAAGGACATTTGCTTAGTAAATAAAATTTAATTAAAGGAATGTAGATCATATTTTTATAATGGTTTAAGGCCATTATTCTGAGGATAATGAGTTAAAACTTTTAGGGACTGAAAAGCCCTGTTGAAAACCTATGAGATGCTATATATAATACAACTTAGTATCAAAATTTCTAGTAATGGAATATCGAATAATGTTTTGAAAATGTTTTTAAATATAATGTCTCTACAAACTCATTTTTCCTTTCATCGTTCACTGTTTACTTCTCCCTGCCATAATATAAGTTTGCCTTTAGAATATGTCCTCAAAATATTTCTCTATCCGTTCCCATCTGTATCTCTTCCTTTCTATGACATCCCCACCTCTCTCCTGTGGTTGACCAAACCTCCATAGGCTCATCCTTCTTGTGCTATGTTTAACCTAGAATGTAAAAAATCGCAGGAAAATGTTACACTACAGTTTCATCTTTCTCCTTGCAGTGTCTAGTATGGCTTGACTGTTGCCAAATTGAACACATTTAATTTAGATATTCTTGTGCTGTTTTTATTCAGCTTTCCTGAAAGCTGAAAGGAAAATAGTGCTTTAAGATAGATAAGCAAAAATAATTGCTGAACTGAAAAAAACAAACACCAAAAAATAAAAAGAACTTCTGAAAATACTGTGACTTTAAACACTATAGGTAGCAGGATCTTGTGAAGTTGGATGCCACTGAAACCCTTATTTTTAGGGATTCTGAAGATAATGGTAATGTCAGCAATCTAGTCTGAAGTGTTTCCGGGGAAACCGATGATGCTAAGGTTTTGGCCTTCATGTGCCTCTCCTTCTGGCTGGTTCCACTGACCCTCTCCACTTGTCTTATGTATGTGTTGCTGTAGGTGTAATGTTTGTGTCTTGTTTGTTGACTGTGTCTATTGTTTGAAACAATAGAGAAAAGGAGACCATCTTTTCAAGGATGTTTTATCCATGAAGGAGAAGTACCTGGTGGCAGCTACATGGACAGTTGAAGAAAAAGCCCAGGAGGCAGACAAGGTCTCCACCTTGCGTCCTTGGATCTATTCTTGCTTTTTCCCCTTTCCATTTATTTCTGTCCACAGCCATATATATTCCTTTTTTCTTATGTGTCCATCTGAAAGTTTTTTTGAAATATTTTTTTGAGTGTTTAAAAAGTCCCCATGTATAAAGCATAGAATCATTGGGCAGAAGTACCATATTGCACAAACATGTTGCCTAAAAGTTCACATTTTAAAATATAGAAGTATGAACCGTTTAGGGATAAATGGTCCTAATTTGATGTGTGTGGCTAACAGTTGGGAAACAATAATTTTGTAAGAAAATGCACTGTTCAGCAGTTATTCATACTGTAATGCTGTTAAGATAACAAATTTTATGTACTCTAGGTTACTCTAGCTTAATAATTACATGGAAACTTTTTTGAATTTTCACTTTTAAGATTCCTAATAGAAAAAAAAAAGTTTTTAATGCACATAGCAGCTTTTCCTATCTGTGAAATACTGGCATTAGTGAGAAAGTTAGCTTTCTGTTGCTTTTACATTCTCATTCTTCTGTTTCTTCTGATTTTGCTTAGCCAACTGGTCAGCCTGTAGAGCTTAGTGTCTGCTGGAGGAGATAGACAGCAATTAGTAATTAGAGAATTTCCGATACTGAGAGGTAAGTGTTTAGAAAGTGATGTATACAGTTATGTTAGAAGGAGATTGGTCAGGAGAAGATGGCATTTCAGATGCGACTTTAATGATGACAAAGAGTCTATCTGTCAGCTTTCCTGTTGCTGGAAAAAATACCTGATGGCTCCCACTTAAAGGAGTAGAGGTTCATTTTGGCTCATGGTCTCAGAGCGTTCATTCTATAGCTGGCTGTCTCTGATGCAGAAATGGCATAGTGGCGTAGCAGAGGAAAGCTGCTTAACCCATGGCAGCCAGGAAGCAGAGATGCAGAAAAGGGCCAGTGTGAGACCCTCCAAAAGCACCTCAGTGACCTCGCTCCACTGGATACTATCTCCTCACTTATGCACTCAGCATTGAGTGAGTGTAGCATTCCCATCATTCAGTCATCTTTTGCAAACCACGTCTCTGAACACATGAGGCTTGTGGGGTCATTTTAGAATGAAGTAGACATTCAGAGATTTTTCCACATCCAATGAAGAACAAACGCAACAGTGCAAGGCAAGGACTAGTTTAAGGAATGCCAAATACAGTGACTTAGTGGACATGAAGGAAGGAAGGAAGGGTCAGAGGTCAGACCCCAGATGATATCAGGGTCCTAAAGATCACGTTACTAGTTTAGAATGGTACTAGAGCAGTGATGGGGTTCTGTCGGCAGTTTGTGAGATGAGCGGTGATGTGATCCCACGTGTCAGATGGAAAGCCTCTCACTGGAGAAGGGAAGGGTGATAGAGGTTGTGAGTGAGAGCACAGCTCAATCATGAAGAGTAAGTAATTCCCTCCCACAAAGTACATTTGAGTACCAGAAATCACAGTGAGGTGGGTGAGGAGGCAGAATACATGGAAATTCCCTCAAGAACTTTGAGGTTCAGTTGAGATGACATATTTCTAGAGCACTGCAGTGACAGACTTGATGTCATAAAGCTGAAGTACATGGTAGACTTATGCACATTAAAGGTTGGTTTGAAATCCAAGGCTGATTAGACTATGTATAATAAGGATTTTAATATCCCATTCTTTTAAATAGTGTTTTTAGAAATCCATATTCCAAAACTAATTGAATGGCATAATTTAAACAATTTTAAAGTGATGTCTTTGGACTTTTTGCAGTTAGGAATTGGATTTTTGGTGAAATTGTTTAAAATAATTTTTCTGGATCTCATGTTTTAGGAATGTACAATATGAAATGTTTTATAGGAGTCATAATAAAGTGATTTTTTTAGTCAGCTTTTTGTTGCTTTGACTAATACCTGACATAAAAAGTTTCAAGGAGTAAAGATTTCTTTGGGCTCCGTTTCAGAGGTTTCAGGCTATAGGAAGCCAGTCCCCTTCCTGGGGTGTGAGATGAGGTGAAACATCACAGCAAGGGATGTGGCAGCCAGGAAGTTCAGAGGATAAGAAGAGAGCTGAAGAGGAAGGGGCCAGGGGCCAGGTACAGTTCCAAGAGCCAGACCTTTGATTAGGCCCACTTTCAAAGTTTTCGGTGTCTCCAAGGAGTCCCAGCAAATTACCATCTCATCAGTAAATCAGTCCTCTGATGAAGTTAGAAAGCTGGGGATCCCGTCATCTGCTTACAGGTCCACTGGACATTGGGGAGACAATTTGGATCTAAGCCTGTATCAGTGATATTTATGTGGTATTTAAGTTAGGAAAATTTCCTAGATAACTAATGTGCACTTGAATTTACTGCTTTTTTCCTATTCTTTTCTTCTTTAAAACATATAGAAAAATACATACTTACTTGACACATGTATGGATTGTTCTAACTACAATCATCCATTCAACCAAGAAACATTTATTGACCGCATATGTTAAATATTTATATTATATTATTACATTTGTCTTCAGATAACATGCCACTGCTGTTAATTGGAAGTACCTAACTAAACATTTGAGTTTACTGGGGTTGACTTGAGTATCTTTTCAGTGTTTGTCGTTGTATCTTCCTTTTGGTACTCTTATGGGATAGGATTTCTTTCTCATCTTTTTTTGCGGGGGAGTACTGGGGAGCAAACTCGGGTCCTTGCGCTTGCAAGGCAGGCAGCGGCACCACTGAGCTAACTTCCCAGCCCTTTTTCATCTTTTAATTGTAATCCTTATTGAAATACATAATTTGACCAAAATTCCTAAATTCTCATCACATAGGTTTTATAGATTTAAAAAGGAAATAATAGGCCAGGGTTTCAGCTCAGAGATGCAGCATCTGCTTGGCAAACACGAGGTCCTGAGTTTGATCCCCGTATCAATAAAAAGGGCAATAATAGTTTTACTTTTAAAAAAAGTAAATATATTGAATTTATTTTTGAGAGAAGGTCTCACTTATATAGCCCAGGCTGGCCTCAAACTCGTGGTGATCCTCTTGCCTCAGTCTCTTGAGTGCTAGGATTCCAAGTGTGTGCCATCACGTACTTGAGCTTTGAAAGCTTCACTTTGAAAACGAATGAGTTTGAAAGTAGTGTGGAAAGTAAGTTGTTTAGTCTTTTGTGGGTAAATGCATCTTGATACATTGTGAGAATCATGACAACCTTATGCTGTGTGTTCTGTCATGAGTCTAGTAGAGGTTACCTAGGCTGTAGTTTAAAGGTACTTCTGAGGGTTTCCTGTGGGTAACTAAATGCATGGCCTTTCATGCCCCAGAGGTCCCTGTCTGGGAATGGACTTCCTTTTCACCTCCATCCCTCGGTGTGATGTGACGATGGGGATTGTAACTGAGTGTAGTCCAGAAGCTGCTTTCTTTCCTGAATATTGAAAATGTTTACCCACCTTCCCCTCCTCACCTTGCTTAGTTCACTGTCTGAAAGGTTATCTCATAAAAGTCATGCGTTTTTTTCTTGTAAGATTTCAGAAGAGTGTATTTTAGTAAGAATTATTTTCACACAACTTCTGACATGAGGGAGAACATCATAGTGAATCTTCTGTGGTATTCCAAACTTCTGAGGACAGTCCCCAGCTTTCCTTTTGTTCCCTCAGTCAGGTGAGCAACCATTGTTTAAGGGATAGCAATGCAAAAATTGAGTCCACGGACAAATATACAGGAAGTAGTATTTCAAGTGTAGGAGCCACTGGAAAGGTCACTGTGTGCAGGACGAGGCCGAGGAGCTCTGGCAAGAACATGTGAACTTGTGTTTAGTGGGATAGGTAGGTTATGCTCAATTTGTGATAGAGCATCACTGATAAATGAGAAGTTTTAGCTGGTTTCTGGAGGCTTCAACTATCAGATTTTCAGGCAAGGTAGAACCCCTGGCATTCAGGCAAACCTCCATATAAGCCAGCTGCAAAATCTTCAAAATTCTTACCTTTCATTTTTGTGCTGTTCTGCTATCTTTCTTGCATAACCTTTCTTTTATTTCAGTAGGTCACTTCTGTCTTTCTGATGTATTAATTCTTTGCTCTTCCTTTTCTGACCTTTCTAGAGTCTAGAAGAGGAGATAACATCAGTTTTGTTTAGTGCAAAGGGCTTTTCTGATAGCATGAAAGCCACCTTCCTGTCAGCCACCACTTGGACAGCAGAGGGCGCTGTTGTGAACTCTAGTGCACCTTCTAGAGAAAAGCTTTCCTCCTGGCCCTTCTCACATTTGCCTAAGGTGCATTTTACTTTGTTTCCCCTGTTACTAAAAGCCACATGAGAGAGTGATTTTCACGTTTTGAATATTCAGACACCTTTCCCTCCAGGGCTTTCACTGGTGAAATTATCCTGGGAGAAACGTTCAAAGAATAATGACTGAATTTGGACATGAGGAAAATAACTAGATTGGACATTTCTCTCGCTTCTTTTATTCAGAAACCAAAAAACAAAGACTGCCTAAATTCAGAGAATTATCGAAACTGTTACAGCTCAGAACCCAAGTTATTAAGCAGAGGAAAGCCTCTATGAAGTAGAAGTTTAGTGTGCTTTGCCCAGTTCAAGTTTTCAAAACCCAAATTTCAGGCATCTTCTGATTTATTTTTTAAATTGTGTGGAAAAATTAAAATACCTACCATACTCAAGGAAATAAGTGCTTTTGAATGACACGAAAGGATTCCCTGAACTTGGGCAGAACGTACTAAGCCATTTGAGGTTGAGTAATGATAACTCACTGACCTGTAATAATCACGAAATGTGTGTTTTAGAAATGTTCTGATCACTGGATATCTTTATTTATGAAGAAGTTTATAAGTAGTTACCTGCTTAATAAAAATAGATTCAAAGTTTTTCAGTTTAATATCTAAAATCTCCAGATTATCCATGATACTAGAAGGGCGATTCCCCTGCTCTGTTGGTCGTGGGTTTACATAGCATGAATTTTGAGCAGCTTCCGCATGCTCTTAGCACGCATTTCAGGAGAGCACAGCAAGTCACATGGGCTGTGAGCACGAGTAGACAGGTGCTGCCCGGAGGTGCACATCGAGCCCTCTTAGCTTTGTGTGGGCTGTGGCAGGCAGGTGAATGTGGTGCCCTGCTACCACTGTAGGACACAGCTCAGTGCAGCTCATGCATCGGCAGCGTCACCATGGGCAGCACTCGGGGACTGAGGCAGAGCCTCTCTATTCAGCAGTGAGACGTCATCTTAGATGAATAGACCTGCTGTCCCTCGCTAAATTATTTCTAATTAGATTACTGGTCATAGTGCCACCTGAATTATTTAGGAACCAGGATTTCAGGCTAAGCTCTAGAGTCTGAAACCAAACCTATTGAATAAGTTTAAAAAGTTTTCCAATTTATCTTTAAAATAATCAGTAAACTTTGGTATAATTCCATGTTTTTATAACAATTGCAACTGCATAAGTGGAGTTTATAGGTGTAACTCCATAGTAAAAGCATTTTATTCCTTTGTGAGGATGCCGGCTGTCCTTGTTTCTTTTTGCAAGCTTTTTGGCATTTGTCTCTATTGTCCTCTGTGTGACCTTGAGCAAAGGTTTTTGTAGCTGCTGATTCTTGCTGTTCTGTCTTTGCAGTGTCTGATGTCTGTCCGGTGGTGTTGAGGTAAAACTGTATTGACTTTGTGTCCTCGGTTGCTTTTTGTTCCGCAGACACGTGCTCCTGCGTCAGAAGGGCCTTGCACTGGAGCCAGGGATGCTGTTAAGGTTCTACCCTTTCCATGTTCACACCATTGCCCGCCGCCTTCCATCCCCTCACATTTGCCCGCTTCCCTTCCAGTCAGCCATCATAATCATCTTTGTTTTCTCCATGACATGAACCTGCCATCCGTTGATTTGGGTTTCCATTGTTTTTATTTATTCATATATTTTTTCCCTCCTCCATCTTTTTTTCGTACAGAGTTCACATGAGACTCTGAATGTAGTGGAGGAGAAGCAGCGGGCAGAGGTTGGGAAAGATGAAAGAGTAATCACAGAAGAAGTGAATGGTAAAGAGCTATCACCTGGGAGTGGTCCTGGGGAGATGCGTAAGGTGGAGCCTGTGGCACACAAAGACTCCACCTCCCTGTCTTCTGAGAGCAGCAGCAGCAGCAGTGTGAGTGAGGAGGAAGACGTGGGCGAGTACCAGCCCCAGCAGCGTGTGACGGAGGGCACCATCAGGGAGGAGCAGGAGGAATGTGACGAAGAGGCCGAGGAAGCGCCTGGCCGCACAGCCCAGGTAGTGGAGAGGGAGGAAGCGGTGCCCGAAGCCAGCCCAGACAGACACACAGGGCCCGGTGTGAGCCCCGTAGACACCGAGGCCCAGGACTGTGTAGGTGCCCCAGAGGGATCTGGAGAGAAGAGTGTAAATGAAGGCACTGTTAAGCAAGCCGGGAGAGAAGAGACAGAGGACGAGCGACAGAAAGTTAACGGAGAGGTGTCTCATGTTGACATTGATGTTTTGCCACAAATTATTTGTTGTTCAGAGGTAAATGGGAGTCTGGAGCGGGAGTTAAACTCTTAAGAGTTTCTTCTCGGGTGGAGACACCTGCCTTTCTCCTCCACCCGTCCTCCTGATTGTACTGCAACTTTTTCAACAAGAATCTGATTTTTCTTTTCTGGGAAGAAGGGGGAAATCTCTGCTTTGTAGATTTTCTGCCAGCTCAGTTCATGGTTTCTGGCTTTACTACAACTGGATCACCTGTAGGGTGGACTTTCCTACAACTACCACATCACTTTTTTCTTCCTGTTTCCCATTTAAATTTTTCTTTGCATGTTTTGGATGCTTGTCTTTTACTTGAGCTGCTTCCTCACACTAAATGCCTTTTTCATTGGTTTCATAGAAAATGTATATGTAATGTCAAGCAATGGTCGATGCGAGTGTGTGTGCTCCTGTTGTTATGACTGGATTTGACCTTTTTGGCTCATTCTCTCACTCCTCAACCTAAGTGTCTTGGAACTGGCAGCAGGCTGTGATTGCCGCGGTGCTCTGGAAGCGGCATCCATCGCTGACAGGAGCCTTATTTCCTGAATGCTGCTGTGATTTCTGTTTTTAGATGCCTGGGATGGGAAGGCTTGGTTAAGAGCCTTTTCCTTCCTTCTGGACAGCCTAAATTGTTCCCTTCTCATTCTGTCTTAATCTCCTTCTGGATTTTTTTAAAAACCAATTCTGGGTTTGATTTGGTTTTGTGGATTATTGACATTGGTACAAGTCTTTTCCTTTTCCCTTCAAGAAAGAGAATGTTCCAGAGTCGTCTCAGATGAAGTCTTGGTCAGTAGGTGCAGTTGTCTCTCATTTGGGAGTGAGTTAGGACTGTAGAATGTCTCTTAGCTCTGAAATACCCACAGTGTAGGGATGTACCCATGCTTGCTCTCTTTGAGAGGGTAACACATCTCAGTGACTTTGACTCGAAATAATGAACCGTTAAACGTGTTTCACTTCAGAGAAGACGTTTCAAGAGTCCTTGAACACTTTGAATTTTTATTTTCAGCATTTAATACCCGTTGGAATTTTCTACAGAAAGTGCTGTAATATTTTTGTAACTGTATTGTAGATGCACAGCAGATTACAGTGTTAACAGGCCATTGAGCCTCCATCCTTGCTTTCAGTTGTTCAAAGCACTCATGCAACACCCATGGAGTAATGTAGATTAAAAACATTGTAACATATGTGACAGAAGAAACCCTGTGAGTTTTAGACAAGTGTAATTAAAAACAATCATATATGAAGGTATTCTTTCTGAAAACAGCATCCTTTGAGAGAGAAGAGCAATCTTAGCCAGCTAGCTTGCATGCCAGTTAAAAGCAATGAGCCTTCACACAAAAATGTGGTCCTTTAAACCGTAGTAAAATTAGAGATGTGTCATTTAGCATAGTTCATTCTTCTTTCTCTTCAGTGTCATTAATTACTTTCCAAAAAGTAAAGTGTGTACACATCAGTGTAGTAGACATGAGACCTCATAATTTGAAGTGTGACATAGTTTAGGGACCATAATGTTAGCTTGTATTTCATTTGGATACATGTACATGTATATACAAAGTACATGTATGTATGTCTGGGTGTGTAACATATTTGACAGAAAGTTTTCTTTATACCTTTGTTTTAAACTATTTGCTTTTACTCTTCATGTGCACGAGTGTGTGTTCGGATATGTTTCCTACAATTATTTTTGAAGGTTCCTTTTGGCACTTCTACTTCCTTACCTCTAGAATTTATTTTTCCCTTCCTTTTCCACTTCAGCCACCAGTGGTAAAAACAGAGATGGTAACCATTTCTGATGCCTCACAAAGGACAGAAATCTCCACCAAGGAAGTCCCCATTGTTCAAACTGAGACCAAAACCATCACATATGAGTCTCCACAGGTACAGAGCGCAAGACTTGCCTGCTTGCGTTCATGTTTACTCAGCATGTCTGTTTCTGTTTCTGTTTCTGTCATCTTCTCCCAATTTATGTATTTCTGACTTTGACATTGCTTTTCCCATCTCTGTTTTATAACCAGGCACCACCAACGACATAACTTGGTATGCTGCTGTCTTAGATTAAGACAAAAAGCAGCAATCAAATTTGTGACCCAGTAATTATTAGGAGGACCTTATATATGACCACAGAGGATAAATAGCATAATTTGTGTTATTCTTACTGTAAATCATTTCTGGCTTCGTGTATCCAAAATATTCATCTGTGCTTGGAAAAAAGATTGTTTTGCAAAATTTACTGAGTCTGATATACTTTCTGACTAGTAGTTTATAGGCTTCCCCCTCACCCTGGCTCAGTTAAAATACTCAACTCACTCTTTCTTATAAGCAACACACATATGCGTGCACACACTTTCTTTCTACATCACAGTGGGTTATTTTCTTTAGCCAGGTAGTCATTTGTGTGCCATCTGTGATACTCTGTCTCTAATTTATCAGATTTTCTTGTGTATGTTTTAAGTCTTCAAACATTGGTTCTGTAAAGTTTTGAAATAAGTATTAAAATGTCTAACCTAATGAGCAGCAGAAAAGGAAAAGTGTTCATTTCAAAACTGGGAACTGTTAAAAGATATATGTGATCAATATTTTCTCCTCTGAACAGTTTAACCTTCTGTGATGGGGTTATATCATGGCGGAGGTTGGCAAGTTAGTGCCCTCTCAAAAGAAGTTTTAAAAGGCTGTGCGCATGGGTGAAACATTTCTCAGAGTTATTTGGGGCACAGTTTAATCTCTGTGTGTGTATAAACCCGACATGAACACCAACAGGTTTCTGTGAATGTTCTGCACTGATGGGGGTGATACTTGTGTGTCTGTTGTGCTCTGTCCTCATAAAGAAATACAGGTGCATGAGCCAAACTTGAGGGAAGTTTCCTCATTTACAGATGAACTCTAGCTACTCAAATTATTTTGTGCTGTCGGTGCCAAAACACATGACAGATAAGTTTGGTGATCTTATTCTCTTAGACTATTAATTTGCTTCATTATTTGCCTTGGAACACTCTAGAAGCTTCTGTCTCTTCTAATATCTAGGCACATTAAAATAAAAACTATTTTGATCTATCCATATGATTATATATAAAAACACACATGCACATGAATGGTATTAAAGTCTTCACACTCATGGATGTGCTTTTACAATACATAAGTCCTTATAGGAACAATGTGGTTTTTAAAATTCTACCAGAGATAAGCAAATAATTAAATGATCAGGCTCAGTCTGTCCGAGTCAGGCTCTATTTCTTAGTAATCTAAGAAAATGTGATCTATTTGTTACCTACCTGTGCATATAAAACAATAACAAACTCAGCACTTCTGATCACTGTGGAAACTTCTCTGCCTGGCTGTCTAGTTTCTTTTACTACCTTCTGCAAATGTTCCTCAAATTCTCTTGACTCCGGTGTAGCTTTCAGTCCCACATCCTACTTTGTCCTTCACCCTCTGTACCCACAGGGTTGCTTCTCCATGTGTCATTTAGCCTTTTGCCCCTCCTCTGTGAAATGCCAGCCACTCTGTGGGTCTGTAAATCATTACCACAGGTATGCAGAGGATGAGCAAATGGCATCTGCTACTGACCGCTTACATTTCAGAAGGTGCATGTTTGACAGGGTGGGGTCTTCTCTGACGTATTGGAAGTTAACCATCACTTTGTATTTTTTCCTCCAACTACTCAAAGATTGACGGTGGGGCTGCTGGTGATTCGGGTACGTTACTGAGCGCACAAACCATCACATCTGAGTCCATGTCAACAACAACAACCACGCACATCACCAAGGTAAAGCAGTCCAGGGGAATCTAGGGAGAAGAGCGATGCATTGCAAAAGGATCTTTTCTGAATTGTTTGGTTCCTAGACAGATTTCCAAGTAATAGTGGAATTAAAATTATGCTCTGTTGACAAATGTATTTAGACCAGATTGCAATTTGGTAAAGTGTAGAGGGTAAAAATGTTACCAATAGCCATACTTAAGAAAGCTCCAAGAGCAGAGATATTTTAATAAAATTATAAAATGTGCAATTTGTAAAAACAAAAGTTTTATAAAAACCTATGCTTCTATTTTTGTTAAATCAGTTTTGCCTAAAGCAAGTGAACGATGGCTATCATTCAAAACTTCCAACAAGTTGTTCCAATAATGTAAAATTTACCTAATTTATAAAGGACAGTGGTATGTTGATTTGGGGCATTTTCCCATATCATTCTCTAACTATTTAACACCAGATACCCAGTGGCTTGGCAGCAGTAGCCTCACCAAGAAGCTTAGATATTTATAAACATCTGGCCTGCCCCAGACCTACAGAAACCTCGGATTTTAGGAAGCTTCCACGTGACTCTGGTGTATGGGAAATTCACCTCATTTCTAACTTGAGTCTTCAAGTATTTTGTTCTGCACCTGCTTTTCACATTTGATTGGTACTTAGTGGTCTTTTACAGCGGTCATTACAAAAATAACAAGAAACTTTGTGAATTAAAAAACTGCCGCATCATGCAGGGTGCCACTGGTGCTCACTGTAAAGCATCTTCAGATACTGAAGTTAGTGCCATGCTTTGTTTCTCACAGTGCAGTGCCATCACTCGAGACTGCATCAGTGCGAGGTGTGGAGGCAGGACGTATGTTCTTGTAGGACAGTGTGGTGTTTGCTCATTGTCTATTCAGGTCACGGCAGAGCCCACCCCAGGCAGCCAGTTGCTGTGAGGCAGTGCACCCACGGCTCCTCCCCCAGGCTCCTCCACACAGCTTTTACGCAGCCAACCACAGGCAGAGGCTGTGATCAGATCACACATTTAATAAGTTTCACCTGCCTTCCTTATCTTCAGCCAAATCCACGTCCATTTATTGTCTCACTAAACCAGATAAGTGGAATCATCAAATGAATTTGTGTGATTAGTAGTTGAAGTATAACATCAGTTTTCCAAACCTAAAACAGTTAAATTGTTAGAATTGCTTATAACTACAAATACCAAACAATTCTTTCTTCTTTCTCCTCTCTTTTTCAAAAATCGGCCAACTGGGAGTGAATAAACTCAGGAAACTGACAATATCCCCATGGAACTACTTCTAGTAAATGGCATTTGCCCCATTGTAATCTCACTGAAATCTTGTTCAGTTAGTTTTAGGGTTGCTTTCATTGACGGGATACTTAAAGTTTAACAGTAGGACTCTGTGGGAACTTAGAAACACACAGTTCCTAGAACACTGCTGTCCACCACTCAGTGTGTGTGGCCTTGTGATGATCAGGAGGGCAGAGTGGGCTCCATCTTCTTTGCTCTGAGTGTGTGAACATGTGTTATTGACTGCTGTTTTTTTTATAACCTCAGACTGTAAAAGGTGGGATATCTGAAACGAGAATTGAGAAACGCATTGTGATCACAGGAGATGCAGACATTGACCACGATCAGGTAAAGCCTCTGTGTTCTAGTTCTGGAAATGCACTTGTCTGTTTGCTGCGGTTTGCACCTGTTGTTGGGTACGTCCATGTGCAAACCCCTTCCTAGGACTCGCGGGTGAGGTCCAGCTCCTAAGCAGGGTGTGAAGGTGCTTCAGTGCCTGTGTACAGCCTACCTGTTCAGCGTACCTGGCTCTGACTCAGCATTAAGCGAGATTGCTGTTTATTTCACACTGGTTTTATATGCCCTGCAGGGTCAAAATAATCTGGAGGATTTCTGGCATCACATGGGCATGGTTTAAAGACAGATGGGGAAATATTTAAAAGTGAATGGCAGTTTAATGACACTGGGTTCTAGAAACTAAAAAAGCCACTAAACTTTTCTTATGCCTACTTTTAGGAAGTTTTCAGTGTTTTTTGCAGCATAAAAAAACTGGCAAATAGCCAGTAACTACCAGGTGTTTTTCCCTGTTTTTGTTATTGGGGAGGAGCGGGAGGGAGAAATAATCTGTTTTATGAACTGAAAATTCACATTAATTCTGAAAACCTTTTTAAAAAGAATCCTGCTTGTGTCCCGATGCTAAGTTTGGCAGAGCGTGTGGCTTTAAGCTGGTGTGGAGGGCGCTTGAGACACAGTAGCAGCTGCCATTGTAGACCACAGTCCCAAGGGGCCATGAGAGGTTGTTTTGTTTTGTTTTGTTTTTAATTTTTTCCTGAGTGATTTGAAAAGGAGACCAAACCATTTTCTTTTCACACCTTGAAGAAAGGATGTTCAGTGCACCATCTCAGCCAGGGAGGAGGAGCATGGTGGTTACCCATCTTTGAACACAACTCTGAGCTCAGGAAAGCAAAATTTAGAGCAAAGATTTTTTTTTTTTTACTTGAGAAAGAATCTATATATAACCAGAGAGAAGTGGATTGTGTTCATACCTAAAAAGAAAGTTAATTCTTCAGTTTTTGACTTTTGTAAGCATGTTTTATTTGCATATTTCGTTATGTATTTTTAAAATGCCTTGAGGGTTATTAGAAGCTAAAGGGTTGCTCTGACTCCAAATTTTAATTTAAATGACTAGAAGGACTAGGAGGACACATAGCTGCTTACCATGGGAAAGAATTACCCATGTGGGTAATTACCCATATTTTTAAATGGAATTACCCATATTTTTAAATAAAATAATTTTTCAGTTTGGCGGTGTGGAATGATGGTTTTCTCACAATCCTTCTTGTTGGCATAATTAATATTTTACACTATTTAGTTTCTTGTATTCATATTATTGGAAGGAAAGGAATTACGGCAAACTGATTTCATATATGTTTGAAGATTTTGATGACAATTTTTAGTTTTCTCTACCTTTTTATACCTTTACCTTTTTTTTAAAAAAAGGGTTTTGCTTAGTAACTTTACAGCTGACAGAAACTATAATGCAAATAAGAAATGCAGTTAAGCCCTTTAGGCAGGTGGCCGAGGGAAAATCACACTGCTTCTTTTTTCATATGCATAGTTTATTTATGAGATCAGGTGTTCTCTATCCTTAAAGAACTTTTTTGTTATAGACTCCCCTAGATTTGCTAGTTCTATGGCATTTTGTGGCATTTTATTTTCCTTTTCTCCTCTTTACAAATAAAATTATCAATAAGAAAAGCGTATTTCCCCTCTAAAACAAACAAGGTCTTTCCATATTACTGTAACACTTTTACAGTTTGTATTTTATGATAAAAACACAGAGAAACTCTGCTTTTCACAACTTGTACCAGGGAAGAGACCACAAACTACTGGCATCCCTTGGCCATTCTCTAGGCCAGTGCTTCTAATTGTGTGTGGTTGTTGCTGCGCTTATAGTTCTGTTTTCTTGACTCTCACATTTTTCCTGCAGCATTTTAGTTGAGCAAATATTTTAGTTCAGACAATTACTGAGATCTTGCGAGGGCAGAGATGAGGCTTTGTTCTGTGCCGGGTTGTCTCTGGTGTTTGGTGATGGGTGGTGTTACTTGAGTGTGTAGACCCAGCACTGTGCTGGCTGGTTAACATTTCTTTAATCTATATAGCAAATCCTAAGATGATCTGTATACCTTAGCATTAGTCTTGGGTTATAGGTAACAGTCCTGAGGCTCAGAGAAGTGCTGTCTTCTTCAAATCTCACTGTGAGTACAAGCCTAGGATCCAAAACCAATGTGTTTCTCCTGCGTGTACCATTATTTGAAAGTGGCCAGAAAAAAGGGAAGTTTGGGAAACAAGACGTCTTCTCATAATGAATAGTGGTCCCACCTTGCACGCTCCAGCAAGGCCCCTGTTGCCCAACTGTGAGCCCCATTTGATGAGTGTGCATGGGTATTACCGTTGTAAGGTGGAGTCTGTGCCTCCATGCATGGCTGTTTTCTCTTCTGATCCCGCAGGCGCTGGCTCAGGCCATTAGGGAAGCCCGAGAGCAGCACCCTGACATGTCAGTCACAAGGGTAGTTGTGCACAAAGAAACAGAGCTGGCAGAGGAAGGGGAAGAGTAACCAAGGTAAGAGGGCCCACCTCGCTGTGGCCTTTCTCATGGCTCTTTTATGATTCTGTGAAATGAAACTTTTTATCAGTGTCTCCATTTCCTAGTATTGGGGTTTACTTTAGGCATTTCTAATCCTCAAGTACATCTGTTCAAATATGTATGATTATAAACTTTGTGGCCTGTTGGGTATGATGATTTCTTTAGGGGCTGCTAACAGTAGACATTCATGATTTACATTACTGTTTATTAAGTATATTAGTATAAGTTATGTCAATAACCCTTGGAGAAAGATGCTGTTACCCTCATTTATTTATTTATTTATTTATTTATTTATTTATTTATTTATGTATTTATGTATTTATTTATTTAGGTTTTTTGAGACAGGGTCTCACTAAGTAGTTGAGACTGACCTGGTGTCGAATTTGTAGTGATCCTCCTCCCTCAGCCTCCCAAGTGCTGGGATTACAGGCGTGCGCCACCACGCCTGGCTGTTACCTTCATTTTAAATAATAACTTGCCTTTTCTGTATGATGAAAAATAGTGATTCACTTGTTGCCTATAAAGTAGACAGCTATCCAGCTCTGTTATTTGAAGAGTCCATCTTTTCCCCTTTTTGTGCATTTCAGTAATTTTATTGAAATTTATTTATTGAAAGGTGTATCTCTTAGTACCAAACACAATGGTACTTGGTTAGGTTACCTCTGCCAACTCAAAATTAATACTGTCATTTTCAAAATACTGAAATCTGTCAGCCTTATGATAACACTGAAGTTATCATAAGGGGAAAAAATGAGAACCAAGACCTGTCATGTAAAGGTACAAAATCCCAATAATAAATGTAACTGTACTGTATACCTAAAATGTACCAGTAAACTAACTAACTAACTAAATAAATAAAAGCTGAAAACTGCAAACAAAACTGAAGTTATCCACAAAACATGGTTTACAAAATGTTGAAGGTAGAATATACTGTGGTTTACTTTTTAATGCTTATTTATCCATAACATGAGTCAAAATTGGTTACATTCATTGTGGATAGACTCAGGCTTCAGACTGACAACACTGACAATACGTGTACATCTCCTTACATTGACTGGCTCACATGGAGAATTCCAAACACTACTTCAGCAATCTCATCATTATGATGATGCTCCTTACTTTTCTTTTCTTTTTTCTTTTTTTTTTTTTGGTACCAGGGATCGAACTAGGGCCCTTGTGCTTGCGAGGCAGGCAGTAGAACCACTGAATTAAATCCCCAGCCCTCCTTAATTTTCTTAAGACATATTGTGGAAATTTGTGAAAGTATATTCTATGATTTTAAAAAAGATACTGGAAGCAATGGCAGTTTTATAGAAACAGCCCATAGTAAAACCTGGAGTGCTTTATTTAGCCAGAACTTAGGGTAAAGCAAGTTTTCAGAGTGATAATTGATTTTGACTTACTGTGTAATATAATAGAACATATTTTTTAATGGAACTAGATCGACTGAGAAAGTAGATTCTGTATATAAATTTTTATCATTGATATAAATGTCACCTGTCTTTTAGAAGAAACATTAAAGATAGCTCAATAAATATACCAAACTTAGTAGGACTGTATTTTGGCTTAATACAAAATGTTTTTAAATTTAAATGTAATTCCCATAGCAATAACATCATCCCTGAACTCAAGAAACCATTACATTATCTAGAAAACAATCTTTATTATGCCCTTAAAAAAGTGCATGTATGAAATGTTGGTTTTGATGTAAACCTCATACTTTAAATTTAGCATTTAAATTAAGTAGGTTACCATTGTCAGTATCACCTAAATATAATATATTGATCCAGTATAGAAAGTTAAATTAATGTTAGAAATGAAGTTTCACCGTTCACCTTCTCAGGCTTGTATTAAAGGTTTCACATTTATTCCTTTAGCCTTACAAATGAATTCAAATCTAAAGTTTCCTGCTGCAGCATTATATTAATTAGGCATTTTTCCAAAGATGTAGAACATCATACTACTACACTCTAGTTATGAAGTTTTGAGGGTTCGTGATTTAAATCCATTATAACATTATGGAATCCATAGTTGAGAGTTGTAAAGAAAAGCTTCAAAGAAATTTTTTTGTTGCTGCAATAATATTTATATAAAGAACAAAAACTCCCATCTTATGAAAAGTTTATCTAAATACTACTAGCTGTTGAAAGTAAATTTTTCATGCCTAAGTTTCATAATCACATGTGGATGTGTTAACTAATAACATTTTGAGTAGGAAAAGATAAATCATTACTATAAGTTCATAAATTTAAATGGCAAAAACGTTTAGAATATATGCAGTGGCTGAATTTGTACTTTTATTAATATAATGACTTTCTATTATTCCAATTCATTATGTTGGGACACTGACAGTTTTCAGAAACCTGAAAGAGACCAACAGGTTTGTATTACTTTTTGTTTAGGTGTAACATTCAAGTTCATAATGATTCTGCTTATTAGCTAACAATCTCAAATTAGTTTATATATGGATCAAACTATTGATCGTGTTGGGACTTGAAATGAGCTGGAGTTTAGGGCTACATTTAGCAAAATGTGCAATTTAAAAAAAACTTACTTAAGCACTAATTTAAAAATTCAGGTTATTAAAGAGGATGTAGTTTTCTAAGCTGCTAATGTAATGAAATGGTTAACATATATATACCAGAGTTTAGAAACTCCTTTGGGTGTTTTTTATTTTGTTTTTGTTTTAGAGAAGTTGGTCTTACTATGTAATTTAGGTTGACCTTGAACTCATTATGTAGCCCAGGCTAGCCTCAAACTCATGGAGATCCTCCTGCTCCAGCCTCCCAAATGTTAGGATTATAGCATACACCACCAGGCCCAGCCCTGAGGGTATTGTGCTTTATGTATAGCAAATGCCTTCAAATGTTAGCTGACTAGAGATTGGTGATACCAGTTTTTCCCTTTTGCTAATCCAAGTCCAGATGGTTTATTTTATTTTATTTTTTTTTATTTTTTTTTATTTTTTATTTTTTTTTTATTGAGTTTATTGGTACATTTAGGGATACAGTACAGTTACATTCATTGTTGGGATCATGTACCTTTACATGGCAAGTCTTGATTCTCATTTTTTTCCCCTTACCTCTGCCCTCCCTTCACCCCC